ATCTAATGATCGCAACGCCTGAATCCGACTTTCCGGGTTCAATGGACATTTGTGTTGCATTCAGAGGAACTGAGGGCTTGATATCTTGACTGAATGATTATCAACTTTTTGAAATTGATGTAGAGGGAGAAATGAAGAAATGCAAGTTCAAACTTTAAGAGCCTAAATTGAATTTGAAATTCGTCAGAAATCGACCATATATCAGGAACGATCGATGATCAGGAAATATCGATGATTTGCGGAATTTTTAAACGTTTCACTCATTGATTGCAAAACAATGGAACAAGAATAGTAATGAGTATTTGTTCGATTTTTATTCCATCATTCTCTTCCTGATTACAGATAGTCACTTTTGGCTCATGCCTTCGAAAATAAATTTTTTTCATATCAGTGAATGTATATACGAACGTGTTGTTATCATTTGATTTTTATTATTAGAATCCAAATCTGTTGGTAGGAAAGTTTCCTGTTAACTACCAGAATAAAGGAAAAATTTTCAGGAAGTCCCCGGGAGCATGCGTTTCTTCATCAAAGAAAAGAGAAAAAGAAAGGTAAAGTCTTTTCTCGAAAAGTAGATTCCTAGTGAGGACTCTCGGGATTAGGAAAATGTGTTGCCAGATTGTGCTGAAAAATCAGCACTTTCCTCATTCGACCCTAGTAAAATATCCACATTTTATGGCAAACGTGGCAACAATGATAGGAAAGCTGCCCACTTTGATCCTATATCGCGTCGTGTTACACTCTTATAGTAGCAGGCATAACCAATGAAAGTGGTATGATTAGGATTACCATTGAGAGATAATATCTCAATGGTAAAAATACCGGTATATTAGTAATTCCTGCTACTAATTAAGAACTCATACGGCGCACCACTATAATTATTGCCACCGTAGTTGTTTTTCAGTGATTCACTGATATATTTTTCAATCTGTGTTTCCAGCGTTTCAATGGATAACTTAGTCACCTACTTATTTGATACTCTTAAAAGTCATTACTCACGTCGTTTCTCTTTCCTGGGAGGCAATGAGGTCGCACTGTTCTCCATTCTTTCAAACCTTCAATGACCGAAATTTCTCTGAACTGATTTTTAAAACACTTCAAAACGAACAAAAAACACGGAAACACCGTTGTTGGGGTTATTTTAGAAATAAGGTGATGTGATACCTAAATGCACTACGAGCGCTCACGATTAAACTGGTTTACAACAGCTAGACAATCTGGACTCTTTGATTTCCGACGGGAGTCATTTGAATAAGCCTCCATTCGCACGCACATTTTCCGATGAATTATTAATGGAGCTTTATTCTCGAATAGCGAATGGAATTTTTGCTAAAAGGAACTATGTGCATATAGGATTTGCCTGCAACATAGTTCCTTTTAGCATAAACATGTCCAAATGTAGGTATCATGACGAGCCTCCTTTCCACCGGGTAAATATTTTGAATGGCAATACTGAATCAAATGCAAATTTGAAAAACACGAAAATTGTATTCGCATTCGTTTCCTAAGGGTAGCAAAGCGACGGTAAGATTTCAATGAGGTAGTATGTACATGCAAAACAGCACTTAAATATATTAAATCAATAGATGAAAGGAAGATATTTAACAGTGATTAGCAATAGTGAAGGAGAGGTAGAATAATATATATACGTTAATCATTATAGCAATAGAGAAGGAGAGGTAGAATAATATATATAACACCCTTCGCGAATTTGGATTCTTTTGTGTGATTTATGATTTGACAAGGGAGCCTTTCTAACAAAGCGCAATGAAATGAAACGATAGCATCTTAAGTGAGCCTTACATTATTTTCTTCTTTTGCTATCTTGAGTTATTTTAGTTTTACAATGAATGTTAATGGGGAAAAAACCTAAAAAAGGAACAATAGATTCATGCTTTCAATAGCTTTGCAGCTTTTGGAAGGGTGTTGCAGGGTGTGCAGCAGTCTAATCTGAAACACCCTGTACGTAAATACAACATTATCGATGCTGGGATGTTCACAGCTTGTAAAGCGCCTTCAAATATGCCGCTACGCAACAATAGTCACATTTCTGCATTCACTCTCGCAAGAACTTCGGGTCGGGCTAATTGAGTATTCGTACCAAACTTAAGGTATGAATGTAAGTGAATTTACGCGCCACCTCTGTAAATACCATAATTCACTGAAGGGCGTACAGCAAGTCAAACAATTTTATAGTGGGGAAAAAAATCATTTTCTCGAATGGTATATTTTCTAAGGTGGTTCTCTTGACTTTTCTCTTCCTTTATTTTTGCTCCAACAAGTTATGTTTGATAAATGTAGCTTTTTGAGCACCCTTGCTGTTAGTTTCTAGCATGATAACGAGGTGTTCATTTGACTTTTCTCTCTCTTTATTTCTGTTCCACAAAATAGTCACAATAATTGTAGCTTTCAGAGAAAGTGGCATGAGACCCCTTAGACACCTCCCCCCCTCCAACCACGCCACTGTTGATAGCAACGAATTAACTCGGATGGTTTTCTCTGTGTAAATTTCTCTTAGGTATGTCCAAATAGACGCAAATATTCAGAGGATAAAAACAAAACCACAGAAATAAAGAAGAATTATACATATGATAAATTAAACATATAAAATTCATTAAGTTTTCGAAAAAGACAACCATCGGCTCCCTCCTGAAACGAGAGCAAGTAATAACCGGGGGGGGGGCATTATTTGAGGAGGGGGCTGGATCCCTCTCCCGATCTCGATAGTCCTCATCTTCTATTTCGCCCTCGCTTCTCGTTTGAAATGCGTTCCCTCATATTAAATCAAACAGGAGAGGCAGTTTGTATCCCTAGTACTTCCCCAGCGAAATTGGCAACCTCGCATAGACAAATACAACACCGCACCAATCTCAACGCCTGCGCCTGGCTATTTCTCTCCGCGACCGTGTAATTCAATACGATGGAACTACGGTCTGAGTCCTCGCTCTTCAACATTGCGCTGTTGCAAAACTGATTAAGAGCAAGTCAAAATATAACAGGGGAACGAAATTCTACTGTAGATAGGTATTATGATTTTTGAGACTCAAGGTGAATTTAAAAAAAAAGTAAGTAAAAGTTACTCCCCTCAAACTGAAGGACGTGGGTGGAAACGGGTGGTTACAATAGACAGAAGAGGTAAGTAACACCTTTACCAACGGCAACTCACGAGAGACCTTGAAGTTAGTACACCACTTCCCCTTATTCTATGAGAAGCACCCGTTTCACCCAATAGGATCGCTCTATTTTTCCTCTGGTTTCTTAGTCTATAGCTTTGTCCATTAATTTAAATAATCATCCCGCTGGAGCCCCGACCGCGGGGGAGTAGGGTTTGCACCTGATCTGCTCGTTATGTAGCGCCGCTTATCACTGAAAACTGATTCTTTTCGGTGTCATTGGTGACGTCACCTCACGGAGAGAAAGAGCGACGCCAAAAACGACCGTTTTTTGGCACAATTTGGGCCAGAAGGGATTTTTCTGAAACCGGACCCAAACGATACCTTATGATACCCTAAAACTCTGGTAAAAATTTTAGCTTGAGTATACGCACGGTTTTTGAGAAATGAGGGGGCAAAGTTGCCAAATCGCCATCATTCTGGACAGCATTTCTATAGCAAAAAGACGGGAAAAATGAACGAAAAAGTTACACCTTTGATGGGTTTCGGTCGTAAATGTTCTTATTGGGCTCTCAAGCATTCAACTGTGTTCAATTTCAACAATTTTGGTCGCACAGTGGTCCAAAATGGGGAGAAATCGTCGACAAATCAGGATTTTTTGTCAAATGTTTAAAAATGGAGGTAAAATTGACGGTCTGCTGCAGTTTCCATGGCTAACAATGTTCTTATAGGTCCTCAATGCATGAAACTATGCTCAGCTTTACAAATTTACATCGCACAGTGGTCAAAAATGGGGGAATTAGTGGACAAATTAAGATCCTCTGTCAAACTTTTAAAAATGAAGTGAAACTGTTGGTCCCCTGTAGAGTTTAGATCCCGGAAAAATGCATGTATTTAATTTTTTTAATTATTACTGTATGTCAGACCGTACTGTTTATAGAACGTTGTTATAGAATAGACTTTGTAGCATTATCTCAATAAAAAATGCAAACCTTCAGAAATTTAAAAAAAAGAAGGGAAAATGGAGAGAAAAAATTAAAAAAGGATTTAAACAGTCCAAAAAAAAAAATTAAAGAATTTTTCGGGGATCTAAACTCTACTGGGAGCCAACCGTTTCACTTCAGTTTTAAAAGTTTGTCCACTAATTCCCCCATTTTTGACTACTGTGCGATGTAAATTTGTGAAGCTGAGCATAGTTTCATGCATTGAGGACCGATAAGAACATTGTTGCCATGAAAACTGCAGCAGACCGTCAATTTTACCTCCATTTTTAAACATTTGACAAAAAATCCTGATTTGTCGACGATTTCTCCCCATTTTGGACCACTGTGCGACCAAAATTGTTAAAATTGAACACAGTTGAATGCTTGAGAGCCCAATAAGAACATTTACGACCGAAACCCACCAAAGGTGTAACTTTTTCGTTCATTTTTCCCGTCTTTTTGCTGTAGAAATACTGTCCAGAATGATGGCGATTTGGCAACTTTGCCCCCTCATTTCTCAAAAACCGTGCGTATACTCAAGCTAAAATTTTTACCAGAGTTTTAGGGTATCATAAGGTATCGTTTGGGCCCAGTTTTAGAAAAATCCCTTCTGGCCCAAATTGTGCCATTCTTGGCGTCGCTCTTTTCAATAAAATTGCGGTTTTGTCGACGGCGATCTATCGCGATATTAACAAATAAAAAATCGTGATAAATTGAGATAAAATGTCGATTTTATAGGACGCGGTTTTAAAGAGATAAAGTCGTGACAAGATTGAGGATAATCGTTCAGATGTTGATAATCCTAGCGATTTTATCGCCAAAAAATCTTCAAAAAAATTGCAACTTAATTTCAAAATATCGCGATTTTTCCGTTAAAAAATGCTACTTGGGTTTCCCGGCTTAGCTATAGACACGCTATAACTATTCTTTTTCTCTCGACGAATATATCTACAAGACAGAAAATATGAGGAGATTGTAACCGTGGAATATCACTTACTTCCAGCGCTTCTAAATTATTGTAAGGAACTATGTTGTAGCCGGGCATGTAAGGCCCAAAGCCTGCGTAGCTAGAGGGGTCAGTGGAGCTTGAAATAGCTGCCAACGTGCGACCCCAGAAGTTTCCTTCGGCGAAGATTATCTTTGCTTGATTTTCCGGGATTTTTTTCTTCAAGTACCCCCACTTCCGGGCCAGTTTGCAGGCAGTTTCACCACCCTCCACACCTGTAAAAACACCAGTTCTAAAAAGTGGCGGAATAAGTTGTTTTAGTTGGGGGCCGTCCCTATAATACATAACGCACTTTTTCGGCATTTTTGATTGTAAAACCGAATGGTTCTTGATCTGTGAGGGATGCCGATGGTTTTTCCGACCCGATAAAGACACACCCAGAGAAATTAAGTGATGCGATTGGACCAATCACACGTCTCCCTTTCAGTTCAATTATATCTGACACTGTCGACTGACAATGAGAGAAGATTTAAAGAATGCTTGATTTCAATCGGTTCGAATGTATCTATAGCTTATTCTTTGCTGAATTCGATAGAAAACGACACAAACACTCGATAAACATAGAACCTGGCTCATGTGCCTTGTTCTTTTGAAAAGTGCAAAAATGATGCGAATCTAACTTGTGCGGTGTTTCAAAATCTCCTCTTCATCAAAGTAAAGGAAACCAGGATTGTTACTAAAAATTTCGACAGAATATTTTAATCAAAAGCAGGAAAGTTTTCAAGAAAAGACGTTTCGTACTTTTCTATTCAGGAAATACATTAAGATTGGAATTCTGAAGTGTCGCAAACCGAGTTTCGCAGTTTCACTGACTATTTGTATTGTTTCAATGTCAAACAACTCGAAACTTTCCCAATATATAATCACACCTCTTACCAGTATTCATGGGAAGTAGTTTGTCATAACCGAAGATTTTCGTCATGTATTCTTCATATTCTCCTAAGACATTGTTGTAGAAAGCTCGTGACGTCAGGGCAAGGGTTTTTGCCTGTTCCGCGAGGGCCTCTAGAATCTTCGGGTGTGAGTGTCCTTGGTTCACGGCTGAGTAAGCACTCAAAAAGTCATAGTACTTTTTTCCTTCGACATCCCACATGTAGACACCTGGAAATGAGATGTTGTATGAATAATAATTTGTAAAAATGTAGCTGTAAAGCACTCATGGTGTAGAGTAAAGAGGGAAAATACAGTCGTCACGATCCACGAGGGCCACATTATTATGGCGTCGATTTTCTTCGGGCTGGATCAAAAATGCTATTTCCTCTTTTAGAAGTTTTAAATAAAATTTTATGGTTTTTTTTTTTTTTTTTTTTNTTTTTTTTTTTTTTTTTTTTTTTTTTTTTTTTTTTTTTTTTTTTTTTTTTTTTTTTTAGAAACTTGGTATTTGGGTAAATAAACGCGATCGATAGAGATTTATATTTTCGAAAGAGAAACGAATGACACTAACAGAAATAGGGTAATCCGCGGTCAAAATATTTATCAAAGCTGAAAACTCATTTCAAATGTTGGAAATTAGAAAATCCTTATCTTGCCTAAAAATATGTCGCATCTCCTTTGCTTACTGCGATCCAAAACTGGGAGCGGAGAGGCTATACCACAAAAGTCTGAATTTCGGGGACTAATCAGAGTGTGGGTTTTTTGTTAGTGGTAAGAGGATTGCTTTGGCAATTCTTTTCCTACGCAGGCACTCAGTTATTTGAGTGCTACAATCGACAACTCCCGTTTGTACATCTCTGAAGAGTTAAAGAAGGAGGGACCGCCTTCAATTTTTGAACATGCAACACGCACATCCGTAGAACACGAATAGTTGCGTCAAGGCGCTACAATCAACTCACAATCAGTGTAGTCTTCGGCACCTTAATGCAACTATTCGTGTTCCACGGATGTGCGTGTTGCATGTTCAAAAATTGAAGGCACTCCCGCCTCCTTGAATTTTTCAGAGATGTACGGAAGTTGTCAATTGTAGCACCCGAATTCTAGAATGCCTTTGTGAGAAACGTTTTGCCACCTAAATCCTCTTACCATGCACCAAAACAAGTCCCTCTCCCCAATTAGTCGACGAATTTCAAATTTTCACGGTAGCCCCACTTTCTCTGCTCCCAGTTTTGGACCAAGGTAAGCAAAGGAGATTGCGACAAAGTCTTAGATAAGATAAGGATTTTCTAATTTCCAAATTTTGGAATACGTTGTGAACAAGTCTTATGGGTATTTTTGCCTAGGATTATTCTTAAAGCGAATTTCATTTAAAGCTCCGAGGCCTCTTGTTGAAAGTTCTAACTTGGTAGAACTAACGATGTTCTCAGCATATCGACAGTGAAACACTGTCATACCACATTTCTCGTTTGCGGTGTTTGGAAATCTACGCTCCCATTTTTTTCCTGTTTTTTTGAAGTAGAACAAAATCAATATCAATATCACTCCTTGTAGTTTTCACCGAGATTTCTTTGAACACGAAACAAAAATCACGGAAGTTTTCAAGAAATGACGTTGAGTAGTTTTCCACTTGAATAATGAGGTATGTCAGGAAGTCTATTACATCGCAAACCGAGATACACGGCACGGCAGTTTCACTATCAATAATACACATATTATCAGTAAACTGCAAATTTATGACACCCAATGTAGTTTATCATGTTTTCGCAAAAAATTTTAAAGACTCAATGGAAACTTTACAATATTAGACCTTGCATTTTTCCGCGTCTATCCTCTGCTCCATAAATACTGATAAAATTGATCTGGTAATGTATGAGAGGAAATTAGGAAACAATTTTATCTGGAGATTGAGGCCTTCGATATGAATTCATAGTAAAGTGTAAACAGTGAATAAAAAGTAAGTCAGTGTGTAAATAAATAAAAAGAAAAAAAACAACTCATGTAACGTGATAAATTGAAGGTATTCCACTAAAAACAATCTTAGCTTTATTCGATTACATCTTACAGTGCACGCATCAAAATAAAACGATCGCACACTGGGAAGCTTGCAGAAAAAGATGGCTTATTTTTCAGCAGACTCGTGCGTTTCGTTTTGTTTTGATGAAGCAGTTGTATCAGTGTGATTATTGATGAGCACACAGATCATAAGGCCCAAGTCCCGAGTGATAAAAGTACGAAATCTGCTCCGCGAGAGTCAAGATCACTCCTCAAGAAGAGTAGATTCCACTCCGTATTCATATCACTGGAGAGCTATTCCACAGGGTGATCCGAAATTCCGCACCATCTCTATAAACCTTGGAGTTTTTGCCTCTCTTCAGGGTGGTCCTCTTAAAATCTTTGGGGCTCTCAAAGGTTGTTTATTTATACCTGGAGGCACTCACAATATTTCAAGTCTCCATCTCAATTTTTACAAAAGTTACATAGGGTCAATTTAAGATATTGAAAAATATATTTTTCCCATGTCAAAAGAAAGGCAAATGGTTTTTGCTTTCTGGTGTTTCTTGGTGCGTCTTGCATACCCCCATCCCCTGCAAATATGTTTCAAATTGTTCACAACTTCACGAAATTTCATGACATATTTCATGGAAATGTCCAATCTTTCCTTATTTCATTTCACTTCACTGGAAAAAAAAACACATTGGATCTAGAGTCCAGACTCTTGAAAACATTGACAAGAAAAAATTCTCTTGATTCAATCGGATTTTTGCTTGAATCAAAACGAAATCCGCTTACATTAAGAGGCTTGGTTCTTGATTTAAGCTAGATTCTGATTGAATCAAGAGTACTTTTTCTTGTCGATGTTTTTAAGAGTCTGGACTCCAGATACAATGTTTTTTTTTCCAGTGTTGTGCAACCCTGTCCTCCCTCCTCCCCTCCAAGTTTGAAGTGTATGGATCCGCCGATGTCACAGCAGAGTAAGAAACCACCCCCTGTGCGCTGATCGGCGAGACATGAAGCGTAATCGGTTGTCGTATGTACGAGTGGTTGTTGAATTCGGGCGAATTGTTGACGCGGATAACAAGTGGCGCGAGTTGTACGGAGCGATTAGTCCCACTCGACGCGCGGCACTCGGAGGCACTCGAGGGTGGCACTCGAGCCGCGCTCCTCTCACGGTTCACGCTCCCGGTTCCGGACCAGTGCCGGATCGGTGCCGGATCAGTGCCGGATCGCAGCCACATCCAAGCATGATCCTCTCAAACGCATCCTCTCCAAACTCGAGTACTTGCCCTCGCGCACCCATTGGCTTACTAGCGCCGGCTAATCGCGTCCACCGGCCCCACTTTCGCCCAATGTTGTCTCGGAATTCCAGTCGCATAATATGTAAAATTTTATGAAAAGAGGGGTATCGACAAGGACCGTATTTGGACCATATTCATTGGGTATCCAGTGGGGGGCTTACGCAACCCGTTCGCCCGAGAAGAAGGAGAAAGAAAAAGGGAATAAAAACGAGAAAAGGATGGAATGGAGGAAAGAAGAAAGGAAGGGACGGAGGAAAGAGGAAGGAAGAACGGTTATATTTCGTAATTATTCATGACGAAATTAACTCAAACTACAAATTAGATGCTTTGAAATTTCGAAAAATTTCGGAAGGAGCCCCCTAGATCCCTCTTGCGGGCCCTCCACCCGTTCGAATGTCTGGATCCGCCTATGATCTTATTTAAGACACATTTCAGGGAAGGTGGAAAACGGTCCAAGTTCAGAACATTTATAAGCTCAAGCTGAACTTAAATAATAATTTTGTCACGCCAAAAAATGCACAGTGGTAACCATTATTTCTCATTTCCATTGCATTCCCTTGTCTCATGAGAATTCGCAGACAGCTGGGGTCGCTTCGGCCCTTTCTCGAAACACTGCCCGTCTCTATTCGGGACCAGCTCACCGCAGCAGGACCGGATTTAGGATTTTTGTTTTCTCAACTCCACAATTTAAGTAATATATTTACTCCAATATTTTACGGAATGTATCATGATTTCGTCAATTCCGGGTCTGATACTAGCCCTCAGTTTGGATCTGAAGGCCGAATTTGGCGCAAAATGCAGGTTTTGCGGATTTTCGTTTGAATGTGAAAAAATCCACACTTTTCGCCAAAAACGGCCTCTAGACTCTTCTTTGAACTAGAAGGCCGAAGTCGGCGAAAATTCTTATTTTTTTAATGTTCAACTTCAACTTTTATGCTGGGCTCAAAAGTAACAGTAGATGTGCCTTGGATATGATTTTTTGGATGGAATTACACTCTCCGATTAAATATTTCGTGGAATTTTGTCAAATGAAAAAGGAGTATCGGTAAAAATCAAAATCATCCTCCTCTCAGAATCCCGAGATTTTTCGATATTTTACGGTTGACGACGTGTATTTCTCAGAAATAGTTGAGTTTTGGCGGTAAGTATTCATATTTTCCGGCTTTGTAACGGAGGCCCAACTCAGGGTTCGAAGGCCGAAATCGACAAAAATTCGCATTTTTTCCATGTTCCACTTCAGATTTCAGGCTGGGCACAAAAGTGATGGTTGATGTGCTTTAGATATGTGTTGGGGACCACTTGAGATGTAGGATATGTAAATATAGTCTACTGTTACCTTTAGGTCCAGTATGAAAGCCGAAATTGAGCATTGAAAGAATACGAATTCGGCCTTCGAACCCAAGTGGCCTCGAGGTCAAAGGAGCCAAGATGTCGAAACATGATAGTGCTGCCAAATTCCAAAAATGTATGAAAAAATGCGTCATCGATCGCAAAAATCGAAAAATCTCGAGACTCTGTGGGAGAGGGCCCAACTTGGCCCTTAACAACCCTACTTCATTATATGAGCTTAATTTACTCCGGGAACAATTTTATTGTGACCGTATGAAGGGGGGAGGGGAGGGGGTAGAGCTTACTCGATCACATGTTTGTCACGACCTATAGTTGGATTCACAGTTTTTAAGTGTGTTTCCCACAAAGGCGGACTTGAATTTACGTAGTATCGCGGTCTATATACGCAACGCAAAGTTTAATCAGAATTCAATGCACTTCGAGATTTCTCGAACATTCCCGTGATCAATATTGTCAGTGGCGTGGCGTGAATTGCGATATATCGATTGTCATGCCATTTAAACCTATGGTAAAGAATCGATTATTCAGGTGTTCGCTGCGAACACCCTATTTATCGATCCTTTTCCATAGGTTTAAATGGCATAACAATCGATAAATCGCAATTCACGCCACGCCACTGAATATTTTCTCTCGCTGCGACGCAGATTTTTGAAGAATGAATGCTTAGAAAGAGGGAAGTAACTGAGTGTTTGCAAGTCTACGAACACGCAATATCTGGAAAAGGATACATTGATTCTCATTCATTGTAATTTTATTCAATGACAAGTGTTAGTTTTAATTCTACTTCAAAACTTCTTGAACGTGAGTATGCAAGATATTAATGGATAATAAGGGAGAGGGTGGCAAAATGTGTAATGAATAGATTTCTATAAGTCTATACACCACACAAGATGCCTGGTGACAAGGGTGTCTTACAGTTGGTCTCAAAGGCGGACTACCTGGTCACAAACGTGAAAATTACGCAAACGCTGGTCTTTAATGTTTCCATCTGCAATCCATTCGCTGACCGACAAATGTTCCCTGCAGATCTTTGGTTAATATTTTGCGAGAGTTTTAACGACACCATAAGAAACGTAACAATTTACAGGTTATGTAAATATCTAATTTATTATTTTTAAATTCCCTCGGGAGTTTTGAATAAAAATGTTTGAATTTTTTAAATTTTCCTTTCACTCTCGGAATCTTGGATGTGCGTATTGCATAATCAAAGATCGAAGGCGCCCCCAGTTTACGAAGACCAGACTGATTGTGTTGTGAGCTAGTTGATTGTAGCGCCTTAATGCAACTATTCGTGTTCAACGAATGTGCGTGTTGCATACTCAAAAACTGAAGGCGTTCCCGCTTTTCTCGCTCGTCGCACAAGTCACGACTCACGATGCACGGGACTTGTCGGTTGTAGCACACGACAAGTGCTTCTGTAGGGAAATTATTGTCATCTCAATATTTTTACTGCAAGAAATTTGTCGCTTTAACATTGGTCGATGAACTTCAGGCCTTCATAGCTATTCAAATTTCCAACTTTTGAAATAAGTTCTGAACAAACTTTGACGAAAATGTTTGCCGAGGGTTGGTCTGTTTCTGTTCGTTTCATTCATCTCTCCATCGATAGTACTATAGATCGAGTTTGTTTAGCCAAATATCAGGGTTGGAAAAAAAATCGTAAATCATTAAAAAATCCAGGGAGAATTTAAAAAAGAATTGTAAAATTTATTTACATGAGTCATAACCTGTGAGTTTTTATTTATTAATTGTATGGGTTTGTATTTTGATACTTTTAAGTTTCACTATCTGTCGTCAGAAATCGGTCAGAGGGGGCCATTCGTCAGTAAGCTCATGGATTGCATTTAAAATTAACCTATCCGTTCCCGTAATTTTCGGACTAATGACCAGCCAGTCTGAGGATTGGCCTCCCAGGTCACAGACTGGGCAAGAGAATTGACCACGCATAGTGGCGTGGCATGCTTTGCGATTTAATAATCGATTCTCTATCAAAGCTGCAAATGGGGAAATATCGATGATAGATTATTCACGTCTCCTCACTGATTGGCCACTTCGAGGACTGCGGGCAACAGGGGAAGCCAGTTCAGGGGCACGACAATTTTGCAAACGGAGTGAAACAATTGAACAGTACGCTTTTTTTTTTAAAAAAAAAAAAATGTTTAAACAAAAATTATTGCTTCCTTTTAATTCATTTATCTTGTTCTGTTTTTCTTTCCTTTTTTAAGGTTTGTTTTAGTATTTAATTTTCAACTTGATGCAAACCTCTGAAAGATTAGTGTACCTAATAAAAAAAAATAAAAAATAAAAAAAAAATCTTTCAGCGATAAAGTTTGGATGATGAGTGTTCCGAAAATCCGATGTTTTCGATTGGTGTAAATTTTAAAAACCAAAAAAGAAAAAGAAAATCCAAGAAAATGCCTGGGAGACAGCAAATACGATCACTTGCTGGGAATAATCTAGGTTCCGGTGAAGTCGAGACTAGGACGCATAAAGACCGCGTTCGGCAGAGAGGACGAAGCCTCATCAGCTATTTTCAAATTTAACTTGGCGATTTAATTTTTTTTAAGATAGCGTTTGTGCGGATTCCTTTGAAAATTTTAAGGAATTTTTAGAGAGGAAGGAATTGCTTTCGTATTATGCAGAAAATTCGCTGAAATTTGCTCAAAAATCTGCACAATTGTTTTCATGTAAAATATTGAATTGAAAAAAAATCAAATGGCAACAGCTAATGTGGCTTGGCTCCTTTCTGCCAAACGCGGTCCATTTGGTCTCTAAAAAGGTTTCGTCCGTCGACTGATTCACCTCCACCTCCTGAAATTGACAGAAAAATGAATGAATGAAAAAAAAAAGTAAGTTTGACATTAAAAATAATTATCAGTTGGAAAGTATGAAAAACTCACCTTCTGCCTTGTTTATGACCACAGGAAGCGGGTGGTAGTTATGAGCACCATATTTTGATTCTCTATCAATAAACCATTGGGAGAGCTGCGGTTTCCCCGTGCCACCGGTTCCGTTCTGGTATCCAGTGGCGGCCATTTTGAAACAACGAACCTGCGGGATTTTTCGTAGAATGATTGATTTCAGCGTGAAAGATACGGGAGGAAAAGAGGCCAACAATAAGAAAATAAATAACTACGAGAAATCGTATACGAGGAAAATCATGAAAAAAAACTACCACGAAATGACAATTAAATAAAACACCTGAATTTGAGAGTTAATTTCAAGAAGGACGCGTACTTATGTCTCGAGTCGAGCAGGTTCGCACTTAGGTACGAGAGAGTGGACGGTGTGAAGAAGTGAATGACAGGGTCGCGAATTTTCACGTTTATATATGCCTGTCAACCCACTTCCTAGACTCATAACGGTCTCAAGAGGCCACTTGCTATCTTGAAAAATCCGTTTTGCTCTCACAACAATGATCTCGTTAACACCTCCAAACACTCGAGGCATGTAATAGTCCTCAGACTCTTTTTCAATTTTATCGAAATTACCCCCTCTCCCCCGCCTATGCATCTTCATTATTCGGAGAGAATTAAAATATAATACCCGACAACAAACAATGACACGTGAGATGGCTCGCAGTCGCACAGTACCATTGTTGCCACATACTGTTGTAAATGAGCACTTTTCTCCATTTAAACCCAAGTAAAGTCTATAAATGTCTTAGTAGAATTTGACAACCTTGCAAAGTACAGAGAGTCAATTGAAAATTTCGGACAAGATGAGAGGCTTGAAAAGCTTTCATGGCACGTTGACACAGAAAATTGAAGTTTATGAGTGGTTTCATTGGGCTCTTCGAAAAATTTGTAACGTGACAGAATGAACATCAATATTTGCAGTTTTTGTCAAAAATTTAATGTCCAATCATTTCTAATAGCTGTCTCACTGTGCGTCGCTTGAGCCGGCGAACGATAGGTGACGAGTAAACTGCACTGGAAAAATTGATTATTATGTGGACATGACAACGTCTTTTTTAACATATTGATAAGACAACCCTAAAAAGGTGGAATAAAAGCAAGAATAAACGAAACAAAAACCATCGGAAAAATCTGTTGAAAAAAATTTAAGCAAAAATGTCAAGAATGTGCCTACGCATGATCAAATTAAGAGAAAAATGTCGTCATTGAAGGAGGGGGGAGAGAGAGGTGATGATAATGAGTGACGACTATAAACAAATTCGAAGAAAACGGCTTCAGTAAAATTATGTCTAGTGTTGTAGATCATCAGACCCAGTGAAAGTTCCTTCATTTCATCGGGTATGCAACTTTATCTCCGGGGCGTTAAAATAATTGCTTCACGTCGAATGTAACTTTCGGGGCGCAACAAGGAAAAAAAAGAGTTTTCGCAAGGAAAATTACACTCGCTTGGCACGCATTTAGAATCGGCATTTTAGAAGAAAAGCACCCCCTATCATTGGAGAAAAAAACTACGCGGTACATAAATTTGGTAAGGATAAATGTATTACTTTTTGCAATAAGGAACCACTTTTTCTGGCCTATTTCAGAAACAACATACATGCCATTGCTTTCCCTATGTAGATAAGTGCTTTTATGGGAGAGCCAGAGATAGTGACTCCTTATGGCAAAATGTAATTTAAATATTTTACCTACCAAAAGGAATCACTGAACACTGATCTGTGGCACTTCGTTCTAAGATCCGCCTCTAAAACACTGAATAACGTCAAAAACCCGCTGAAAAATGGTGTATTTCCTTCGGGAAATACACTAAAATGATGTTGACGCACGGTGTTAAAGTCAATAATTGAGATTCTGTCCAAGTCCCTGCCGATAGTTCCGGCCTGGAATTATCCCTGAGGCAATAAAAGCCCTGCGCGGAGGAGCGAACAATACGACCGAGGGATTAGGAGGGACAGACCGACTGAACAGCTGATCTTTGAGGAGGCGCTCGTAGAGGGTCTTGCCTTCACCTTGGGAAGCTGGCGCGAGTTCAAATTCTCTGTGAAACTTTGTAAGCTCATGAACTTCACGTCTGGGTCTGAGCGCACGGAAGCAATTACTCTCAACTAGCTCTGCCGCATAACGGAGAGGAGCTGTAAGTACGTTCTGGGATGAGCTTCCAGACACGTAAGAGCAAGTGCTAACTGTGGCTCATACAAAAATGCACTTGCGGCTCTCTTCCGTTACACGGCGGAGCTTTGTTATTTCATTGATCCACTGAAAGTATCCGTATCACACAGAGGAAAAATACTGAATGGACATTGNGGGGGGGGGGGGGGGGGGGGGGGGGGGGGGGAGATGTCACGCCCCTTAAACACTTCGCGATCCAACCCCCCTAGGCGCCTAGCGCCTCAGGCGTTATGAGTTGAGCGTTACTCTTATGATTTCATTTTATAGAGTGAAATAGGTAACGACTACACACAGAACAAAATCCCTTAGGAACTTTCTCCATGACTTGAAAACAAATTGGATTCTCCTCCTCCTCCCCCCCCCCAAAAAAAAAATTGAAATGAACGGAAATTTTTTAATGATGCCACAGAAATTTGCTTTTTTGGTTGGGAATGGATAATTTCAAAAATTAAATGGAAAATCGATGGCCAAAGTGCGAAACCACGTAGCTCCGTCTGCGACTTTGCAGATTTCCTATTATACTTAATTTTTTTTTTTTGGAAAACATGTCAACGTATTTTCTTAAAAACTTATTAGATTTTGCGTTTTTTTTAGCCAAATATTCTGTTTAAATTCAAGCTATAACATTGGTTTGTTTTTCTTCGAAATAATAAAATAGGGGTGTAAATTCTGAAACACCGCAACGGAGATACGTGGTTCCGCACTTTGGCCATCGATATTTATTCGCGTTTTCATCCCAAAGCCAAGCATGGTTAAAACCAAAATAAATATTAAGTACCGTACATGGAAACAATCCGAAACATACCTAGAAATGAAGTTACCTCTTGGCGTCTTTGAAATTCTAAAAAATATTAGAATTAGGATAAGAATTGTAAATATAAAGCTCCTTCCTGTAGGCTAAAATTGTTTAAAGTCACTATCACAAAAAAATTCTCTAAAAAATTCGAAAAACGAAGGAAGAACGAAGTAATGACGTTATTTAGAATCGTACTTAACACAAAAACCAACACTCAAAATCCAGGAAAAACACGGCGGAAGGCAAGACGTGCAGTTTCGCGAGTCGGACGAAAATAAGGGTGCTTGATGAGTGGCTTGGAGGGGACGAACGAAGGCATGCGGCGAGGGCGATACAGCAAGGGGGTGTAAACGTCTTTTCGTCTTGAAAATACACCCCTAAAAATAAAGGGCTACCAACCACAGGCGCCTGAGACTAATAGCAAACTATACCAGATGGGATGAAGTCTGCTTCGAGTGGGTTACGGGATTCGGAGTCAGGGGTTCCTCTCGACGTGGGAAGGATTCAAGCATCGATCGGTCCAGTCCCATTTCTTGCTCGATGAGTATTCAAGGTCAGTGGCGCTTAATCAATGATGGTCGTCTGCCCCGCGGTCATGGGCAGAGATGCAAAATTTCGTGGAACTTGGTAAAATGAAATTTAATGGTGGAATTTCTTGAAATCTCGTGAAATTTTCAAATCTTCTGTGGTGGACTCAGTACCGACATAGGCGGATCCAGATACTTTGAACGAGGGGAGGCGGGGTAAAAGGGGGGGGGGTTCTAGGGGGCTTCCTCCAGAAAATTTTCAAAATTTAAAAGCACCTAATATGCAGATTGAGTCAATATCGTCTTGATTGATTACTAAATATGAGGAGCCTTCCTTCTTTTTGCCTCCGTTCCTCCCTTTTTTCTTTCTTCCCTCTACTTCCTTTCTGTTTTTTTTTTACGGGCGGACAGGGCGGGGGATGGGTGCGCTTTCTACGCCCCCTACCTTCACCCCCGACCTACGCCGCCTACCTACGACCTACGCCACATATCTACGCCCTCTCTCACATCCGCCTATGAGTAACTATGCCACGAAACGCATAGAAACAGTAAAATCTGAATTTGGAAACCAAAAAAAATATCATGAATCGAATTTAGGAGTTTCTTGTCGAATTCTCGAATAAATGTAGCGAGTTACATACGAAGCACCTGAAAAATCGCTGAAATTTCATGGAAAATAAAATTCAATTTTGTATCTGTGATCATGAAGCACCAAATCGGAGGAACCCTCTTTCCCACGCACGAGAGATTAGGTGCCAGACGCCTGCTTTTTTACACCCCCACGAATAGTACTAAGTACTTTTTCTCTCCCAAGTGCCCTAAAAGTAAGGGATCGTTCATAAAATACGTGCAACGCTGAAAATAAAACTTTTGACAGAGCAGCACTCCTGACTTCAAGCGCTTCGTGCCTCAGCCGTTAGGCTACGCGCCACTCTCATGATTTCATATTGAGATTTATTCCTTATTCCTCTTTCCTTTGAACACACAGACCGTAAAATGGTTTCAATAATTTGGCTAACCATTGAAGCTGTAAATTTCAAGCATTCAACCCATCCAAAACCGAAATTTTGAAAAAAATTTGAAAAAAAACTTGAAATTTTTCTGAGAGAACAACTGAGGGGCTCACAGGACAAGACGCATAGTGCAGTTTTGAAAAAAAAAATTGAGATATTAACAATTTCGACTAAAGCTAGTCTTAATGCATACTCTGTGAAAAATTTGCTCCCAAATTCTAATTTTTAAGCAAACTTTCTTTCCGCCATAAGGATCCGTGTAATTCCGAGACATCAAACACTTATTTCTCGAAATAACAGAAACTGCACTTATGTGCCTTTTCCTCTGAGCCCCTTAACTGTTCTGAAGGACTGTTTTTTTTATTTCAGAGTAACGATTTGTACCATTCCGCTTTGCGTATATCTACATCTGCGGCACCCGGGCACCTGGCTGTATGTCATTACACCTCGGGCCACCAATTTACCTCTCCGAGGCTCATAAAATTGCAAACGGCATATCAGCTAAAAAGAAAGGACTTCAATAAAATCCGACGATCTGCAACAAGGGAACATTTCGACGCCGAATAGTGTCATTGCCTCGGCGCGCGGCGCCTTCATTGAAAGCTCCAGAAACTATAACTACATCGGAGATCAAATTGCATACTCGATGAAATGAAGGAGCCGAGTAGATGCGGTGAGCAGAGACATTGAGAATCTTGGACCGATTAAGACGCTCCTTGAAACTTCCTTATGATTGCTTTAAGAATAGATTCCAATGAAATTACACGAAGGAGAAGAGCTTTGAGGGTGTTCATCAAAATAGCGGCCTCGGAAGCACTGCTTTGCACCATTGTTGAAAGTTCGCTTCGACCTCAGGCAATTATTCTAATTCCGCAGTGATCAAACTACATACCCTATAAATAAATTCCCTATACATTTCTAAAGGAGAGATGTCGTCAGAGGCCCCAGTCTGGATTTCTAAAACTTAAGCGTAAACGACTGTGCAACGTCCTGTACTTAACGACTTAACGAGAATTCTTTGATCAAGTGAGTTATCAAATCTCTTTAGTGAGATATACACATAAAAAGTAGGCTGCCAAAAATATGTCTAGCTGATCTCTAGATACTGCGCATTGATTCTTAAAATTGATGGAAAAAGCTATGGAGAAAGAAGACGAAGGAAGAATGGAGCAATCTGTTAGGTTGAAACGGGTAGCTGCTATAAACTATGGAGGAAATTGATGCACTAATTATAGGGTCTCTTGTGGGTTGCTGTTAGTTATTTTACTATCTACCACCTTTGTCCATTGCAACCACTCGCTTCCACCAATAGAATCGCTCCATTTTCCTTTTGTCTTTCTCGTCTATCGCTTTTTCTGCAATAATCAGCCCGAGGTCAACTTCACATCCTAAGAACGCAAACATATTTGCGAAGGCAGCGAGGAGTAAACCAGCATTCATACATAGATCTCCAAGACACACTTCTCATACCCTAAACTGCTATCGTAGTATTTTATTGTTTTTTTTAAAGAGCGTCATTAACATTGGTCAGAAAGCTGAAAAAGACCATTTTTTATGGGGTTTTCAAAAGTCAAAAGTTGTTTTTCGAACAGGGCGTACTGTTTAAAAAACTGATCACGGCGCTCTGTTCATTTGGAATCTTTGATCTAAAATATAAATGGTTTGTTTCGAGCAACACACCGAAATGCAGGGACAGTTTCCTTGCCCGAAAGTCACTGAATCAATAATTGAGTGGCAAATCATGAGTGCTCATTTATTAACGTCAAACCCGATCATAGGTGATCAAAGCTGAAATATTACATGACGGTAAACCAGATGATCTGCACTTAATAATTGTACTGGTAAGGGCGTGGCGCCGTTGTTGGGAGCACGAGCAACTATTCGAGCTTTCCGGAGATAAAATTGCATAATCAACGAAATGAAGGAACTTGGATTGAGCCCGATGATCCGCAACTTAGAGACCTTAAGGAACAGAAGACGTTAAGCCGTTTTTCGGTGGAAACTTTAGGTATCGAATCTTTAGACCGAGATAGGAGTATTGCGTTTTGTAACATGGTTTTTTTTGTGTGTGTGTGTCGTTTTGTTTTCTCGTAACAAAGTAGCCACAGTTACCTATCAATCAACAAAATCACATGAAATTTGAGACATTGAGGTATCTTCAGGCGCTGTTTCCGTTTCTGGTGATAGGAAAAATGAAAACCGTAAATACGGTGGTGTATGTCCTTCCCCCCTTTCCCCGAAAATATAGCTCTCCCTAAAATGGCTCGAACGAAAAAATTTCATAGAACAAAATTGTCTTAATTCGGTCTGACGAATCGATCCCTGAAGTTTCTGCTGTTTGATTAGGGTCCTCAACCTGAGGTACTAATATTTTAATCACTGAACCTTTTTTTCACGAAGGACTAAACCTCCCTTTTCGTCATGGGGTAAGAAAAGAGGGAGGAGGTTGTGGACAATTTTCCAGACGTTTTTTGCCGCACATTTTGCAATTCAGGTTTTCTGTTGAGCGATCCTATTGTGTCTCCTCACTCAAATCCCTTAAGAATCGTTGAATGGACCAGTAGACAAGGAACGAATTCAAGCATTCTCATGTATGTTTCTTGATCAAAATTTCATGGAAAACACGATCGTGCAACGAAAATTTCTACCTAATTACTTATCTAAGATTTTGCAGTTTACATTGATGATGGGAAATTTGAATTCCCCGCTCCCAAAAAAAGAAGAGCCTACTCGAATCAAATCGCGTACTGTAACTATTTTAGCAGGCTTCTTAATCAAGGAATGTTACCCTCCGGCTTTATTTTTTTCAAAGTGCTAACAACGTGGAACAGCCGAGCTGAAGCACCGAAATTGAGGTTGCTACGATAACATCAAGTCCGCGATTTGACTCGCGTAGACTTTTGCTTTTTTTAAAACGGGAGGTTTAAATTTACTCGTGAAGAAATATTGAATAATTTAGTTAGGAGCTAATCCCAGTTATTTCCATTTCGTAAATCGCGTTTTACATGAAATTTTGACTCGGAAACATGTATGAGAACGCTTAAATTCCTGGACCCTCGAAAATCATATTATCCCTCTATTTTAAAAACGAGAAAAGTAAGTACCTGTGATTGAGCGCATGCCCATTCAGTACGATTTAAAACAACACTAATTCGGGCCAGCATTTTGGAATCAGGCGAGAGACTTCACCGGATCGAAAAAGTAAAAACGGGAAAAGTAGATCCGAACTCGAAGAGCGCACAACGATCAGTGATGTCTGTCGACGCGAAGCGAAATTTGAACTAGACTGGCTAACGCTGCAGATATCGAGTACAGGTGGACAGCAAACATGAGGGCTCATATCACCCGGAGCAAATTGCCGAGAAATAACAGTTTTTTTACATAGTCGATTAATCGAATTTTTGGATTATCGGAATTTTAGTAATCAATTAATAATCGAATCGAATCAAAATTTATTTTTAATCAAGATTATGTCTAGAGCTTTGCCTACGCCTATGGCTAGGGCTGCGCCCATAGCTGTGTCCATAGATGCAAATTATGGCGATAGCTATGTCTATGGCATTTATCGATTAATATTTTTGATTCGGTTAGCTTTTTGTCGATTATCTGTTAATATGCGTGTTTTATTTCGTAAAATTCTAAAATAACAACTTCTATTTTGGGATGCCTCCCATTGTTTCCAAGTGTGAATCAGCATTTTTGCAGACGTTTAGAGTCAAGCATCATGCGTGATAATCATTTTAAGAAAAGTCGAAGTAATTGTTTCCATATTTTCTCCTGACATCCTCTGTTTCGTCTATAAAATATCAGCACTGATGGGGTATAAACTGAATTTTTCGAGGTTTTGCGCTGATTTTTTAGGAATTTGACTCGGGTTCTGATAAGTTTTTCATTTCCAGTGAATCGGTAGTAAATAATCGACTAACGTGTTCATCAAAAGTTCAACTCTCCCTAAATGAATCGAATTAGAATGAATTCGATTAATCGATTTCTGAATCGCTTTTAGAAAAACTCTACCGAGAAAATCCGAGAGCCAACGGAGAACTGAAAAGAAAATAACGCGAATTTGGAAGAATTCGGCAACACCACTTGATCATATCGAGTCGGCCGAACAGGCTGAAAAAATATGGAAAAGGGCTGAGTATACATTTATACGCTGCGACTACTGGACAAGGATCGAGCTGCGAAAGGTGACCGGAAATTGCCGGAGACGCAAAAAAACTAATGACCGGAAACGAACTCGATTATCAAAGATGTAGACAAGAACACTCTGGTCTTCGGCTCGTTGTAGGTGACTAGTATTCGTCGATGTTCCTTGTGCTTTACTGCCAGCGAACGTCCATGCGGGGACAATTTTTTCCTCCCCGAAATTTAGCGTTACGTATTTTGTCAATTCAAACGCCCCTCTCGATGAACTCGCTGTAAAAACCAAAATCCACTTACTTAGGTTAAATTGCAATTAAGATGACTGGTCGTCGTTAAAGTGAAAAATTTTGTTAATTCACCTACCTATCTTCGCTTTTTCAGAGGAATTTTTTTTTTTAAGATTTCGTGTAAAAAACGTCCGGTAAACTCCTCTAAAATATAAAGGAGGAACGTAAATTTTGGGACCTTCTGATAGTTTCCTGGACATTTTTTGCACGAACCTTTGAAAGAATTATCCTGAAAATGCAAAGGAAAATAAACAACATTTTTTACTTAAAGTCATCTCGTACATAGGTACACATAATTTATTTTTTGAAACGAGTTCAACGAGAGGGACGTTTGATTCGAGATAGGGGCCAATGAGGGTCATTCATAAAATAAGAAACTCGTATGACAGTAATATCAGTGTTAGCAAATACCATACCTTTAATCGTATTTACCAAAAATATATGGTAAATGCTACCAGATGCCTCTTTATCTATATCCTACAGTAGCACTGCTGTGTCATATGGTAAAAATTGGCAGTAGAATCTGTGTTCCAAAATACCATAGACGTACAGCCGGCTGTAAGATTTCCAATAGCTTCTATAGCCGGCTACACAATTTCTTATGACCTTTTATAGCCGATGGCGATCAAGCAAGTGTATGCTAAACGTTACTAATTACGGATGCTAGGACTTGGTGAGTTTTTGGACTACTGCTTTCTTTTTGGGCCGTAGTATCTTGATTTATTTTGCGAGGACAGCTCCGTACTTTTGATGGATGCCTACCATTCCTAATATATTGGAGCGCCTTCGGTTTCGTATGATACTGTGCAATACCTCTGGTGTGAAATAGTTGCTTCAAGCGCCCGCCGTGGCACGCTGCGGCACGGCAGGCGGGCAGCCAGCGCGAAACGCGCATTGGCGCCTACAAACCTAACTGGGATACTTCACGCGTTGCGCACTGCGTGAAGTATCCCTGGTAGGTTTGTAGGCGCCAGTGCGTCGCCGCTCCGCTTTGTGTTGAGCTCCAATATTTAATCTGGCGGAGTCAGCGTTATTCAACTCATGATTTTGAAATGTTTGCATATCCTGTATGGATTATTCTCATTTTAATTGACGAAAAAAAAATTGTATTAAAGGAAAATATAATGTGTGTTTTGTAAATATTACGGTGGTTCCGTATCACACTTAATGATTTCCAAAGCACACGAATTTCTACGTCATTTCTTATAGCCTTTAATAACCGATGGCGAAAAAGCAACAGCCCGGCGATAGGAACTATGGCCCGGCTGTATAATTTTTTATCGCTTCGTATACCCCGGCCGTATGATTTTCTCCGCATTCTACAGCCAGCTATATGATTTTCTGTAGCCGTCTTTAGCCGGCGATAAGAATTCCTACGGTATTTTGAAACGCAGCTCTTACCGCCAACTTTCACCAGGGCAAAAATCCAGTGGACTCCTGATAGACTTTACTATACTTCTGGTAAAATTTGCAATACTTTTTTCCAGTAGAGGTTTATTTATTTTATTTTTTTCCACTTCTGTACGATATTTTCAAATTTTAGGTAGGTATACGTCTTGCGGTGCAAGGGCTTTTCAATCGATATCCCTGCGTGTTTTTGTGAAGTTTCAACATCGAGTTTAATTTTCGCTGAATGCAATGCTGCACTGCTGGCTGGCAACAAAACGACGGCGAAACTGCAGTTATGCATTTCTCGGTTTGCGGTGTTGCAGATTTTCTTTCATACTTTAATTTCTACGTGGAAAACTACCCAATACCTGAAAACTTTGGTGATTTTTATTCCCTGCATGATGAAGATTTTTTTAAAATTTCAAGCCATAATGTTGGTTGGGTCTCCTTTTAAAAAAGAAAGTAGGAGCAGAGATTTTGGAACACTGCAACCGAGATACGCATTATTGCAGTTCTCGCCGTTGAAATAGTGCAAGCATGCAGATTACGGAAGCCTGCATGAATGATTCGACCTCCTTGTCTGCATGACAGAATGCCCGCATGACAAACAGCAAGCGAGATGTGATCCATTTAATTTAGCAGAGGCAATCAGAGCTTACACAGTTTGATGTTATGAATTATTCACCTCTAATGTTTAAAAATTGGGACCAAACAGCGCCATGATTATTAAAATTGATAGACAAAGCGATAGACAAAGAGGATAGAGGGAGAATGAAGTGATCAGTGGAAGCGAGTGGTTGCAATGGAATGGACAAAGGATAGGTGAGAGTAATAGACTACCTAACGGCAACCCACGAGAGACCCTACATCGCCCTACAGCTATAGTCCATTATTTCCCCCCTTAGTCCATTACAACCACCCGTTTCAACCAATAGGATCGCTTCATTTTTCCTTTTGATCATCGCTTTTTCCATCGATTTCAATAATCAGCCCGTGGGATTGTCTTTCAGAATATCATGATGTATGGTTTATGAAAATCTTTGAATTCTCGACTTACATTTTTCTGACGCACATATTTTCTAAATTCCAAGCAGATTAATGTTTTAAGAAAATTTATTTTCCTCAACGGTAGCATTTTGAACCGTCAAGACCCTGAGGGAAGATCTCTCTGGGGCAAAAAGAGCGAAAATGTTTTTTTAAAAAAAGAGAAAGAAAAAAAATGAACAAATGAAAAATAAAAACAGCGAAGCATGTAAGGAGAGAAACTAGGACTGCTTGAAATCACAGGGCTTCGAACTTTTATCATCACTATAAAACGCAAATACGAGGATTCATTTCATGCGAGAGTAGTTTTTCGCTGAAACTGCGCCTAAGACGCGCACTTTTCCTTCTTGACACTAGGTTGTCGGCTCTGTAACAAAAGTTAATGATTTCCAGCTATTTTTTCCACTGACTCTAAGTTAGAAATCGCAAAAATTGGAAAATGGGGGGGGGGTATACTCAAGAAAAATTTTCTAAGAAAATTGAGTGCAGTATATTCTCAGTACCTACTGTAATTTTGTCCACAGCTTCAGATACATACCTATTAGAGTAGTTTAAAAATTGACACAAAAATACATACTGACTATGTTTCCGAATAATTTTGATACAAAGACGGTGAAACTAAAATTAAATAAAACATGTATCTCGGTTTGGGTCTCACGAAATGATCGCTCTTACTCTATTTTTTTTCAGAATATTAGTATAAGTAATTGAATATTTTCTTACGAAGTTTTCGAAGAATATTCATGACGTTAAGGAATGAGAAATCACAGAGCAGGGTGGTATGCGATAAGGGTAATCTGTCTTCCCTCGAGAAAATAACTTGAGACAAAAAATCTGCGACGTCGTAGACCGAAATACATGGTCTCATAACATCACCCCAGATGCGCACTAAATAAAATATTTCGAAAAAATTTTTCATGGAATTGAATTTTCAGATACACCAGTATGATATGAAAGAAAATTCAAATTATTCTGATCGGAAGAAAAGAAGAAATAAACATTTTTTGGTGGAGATCGACTTTTTCCCTTTAAATTGGTTGAAAATCGCGGTACCCACGTTTAGTACTAAATATTTTCCACATAAAAAGGAAAACTACATTTTTTTTCACTTTGTGGATTTTCCTCCCCTGAATTGTGGCTGTTCAGAAGTCCTGAGTCTGCACAAACTCAAAATTGAGGTATTAATACTTATCGTCTTTGCAAGTTCGTAGAATATTCCCCTATGCCCTTGTATTATTAATACAAGTGCATAGGGGAATATTCTACGAACTTGCAAAAACGTTAAACGCCCAAAAATGTCATACCGAACCGGAGACATGACGATGAGAGGTTGGCGGCTCAAAAACCGTAATTATTTCGAGGAAAAGCGACTTAAAATTCTGATTAGTCATGTTTAGATTACAAAATTGTCGGATTATAAAGAAAATTTACGCACGTTTCTCGCACAAAAATATGTACTAAACCGCTCACAACTTATTGTGTGAAACACTGTAGAGACGTGTGTGTGGAAACCCCCCTCCCCCCTCCAAAAAATCCTATTTTTCGACCAAGCTCGCCGAAAAACCCTCAGCCGAAAAGTTTCCCTCAATAGGCAAAAGCCCATTTTCCCGACGGACGGTCACAATAAAAAATTCATATTGTCGTCCCTCTGACGTAGGGGCATGTTTCGATTGCAGAATGAGCCCTAGAAAGCCATACTCGTAAGTAAAACTGGGTTCACGTGAAAATCGAGATACGTCCTTACGTCAAAGTCGTGACGATATGTCGACGGCCATAAGTTGAAAAATGCGTTCCTCTGATTGGGAATCTCCGACCGGGTTTCTTCCATTTTTTTTTTCTTCTTTTTAAGACGAACCACCCGACGGGTTTTCCTGTTTACGATCGATTTTCTCCTCTCGTTTAAGGATATTCACAGGAAATTTCAAGGTGATAATGTGCTTGATTTTCTTTTAAAAACACAAGCCACAACTATCGCAGATTTCTACATAAACGTTACGATTGAGGTGCGCATTTTTCAATTTTAGCCGTCGTCGATGGGTATAAGAAAATTTACGGGGGTATTGTTCGCTTTTTCTTAATGAGATTTCTCCGGGAGCTTTGTCTAACTGCTCAATCGAGCAACAATGTGTGTCTGTTCTACAGACGCGTAATATTGCGCTTCGACACCAAGGCACATACACCTGCTTGTCGCGGTTGCCGTATTGCTGTAAGAATTGTTTTTTTACTGTCGAGGAAGATGTAAGGATTTGTGTGGCAACCCTGCAATCGGTCAAAAAATCCACGACTCACTTTCAACGTCGTACAGTGGATCGAGTCAATCAGAGAGGTCAGACATGAAATGTTTCACTAAAACTGCAAAATTTAATGTTTAATTTGTCACATTTTAAGGGGTGTCACTGTGAGAAAGTTTCACGAGGAAACCACTTTTATAATATCTCAAAGGTTTGTATAAATGGAGTTATAAGCTTTTAAAGTTTCCAAATTTTGTCCGACCCCTCCCATTGACTCAATTCACTGTGCGTCGGGCTTGAGCAGGGACTTGAAATGTATCGACCCATTCAGGGTGGAACTAAAGCTTTTACGCGATGCATTCTGGGCACGATTGATGTGCTTCAAATTTTAACCATTTTGGTGGAATATGTTGGGAAAATAGAAATTTTAGTCTGTAGATTAAACATTAAGAAATGCTCGTGCCGAAAAGTATCCTCAAAAACCTTAAAATAAAATCAAAGATAGTTTCCAAAACAAAGAAAAGAAAAGAAAAAAAATTCGTGATCAAATTGAATATATCGATATTGATGGTCAATTGGAAGCAGTACTTTTGACTACGTTTTAAGTCTTTGGAAGGTAATTTTCGGCACGAACATTCTTCAGTGATTTATGTCCAGACTGAAATTTCGATTTTCCCAAAGTAATTCACCTTTGAAGAGTAAAATTTGAAAATATCTATCGTATCATGCTTAGATGCCTGATTTGTTTGCGATTTCTACGACCGCAGCAACGTTGAAGTGCATTTAAATAATGAATTTCTCGGGAAGTTGAGAGCGTCGCGATTTAAATCAGGGATGATTGGCTTCATCGGCACAATAGACAACGCTGAAATTAAGTTAAAGTCTACTATGAGAGAAACAATTAAAACTTCAGTTAATGTCGCACGTGACAGATAGGTACTAAACTAATTTCTTTATAACGCCTGGATGCAACTATTCGGGCTCCATGGATATCCATGTTGCATACGCACGAAAGTGAAGGCGTTTTGACTTCAGACACTAACCACCGCACCAGCAGCGCTCAATAAAGCGAGTAAATTAGAGGAGTCGAACAGAATATGGAAGCGTTAAAAGCTCATATCGATATTAGCATGTAATAAACCTAGAGGTTTTAGTAGTGGTTCCATTGATTTTCTCGTAAAATTTCCTTCAAGATGTACCCCATACTAACAATCAACAATGTGAAGAAATTAAAATGAAAATTGCAGTTATTTAGTTGAAAGTTTAATGACCCACCTTTCTAAAAGGCTCGTTTCAATGCAGGGCGAGCTTTAATAAAATAATCTAAAATGACAGATTGCCTTTCAATTCTTCATTTTATACTTCGAGCAGACCTCTTAGACATGAATAGTTACTATACAAATCATTCTCAGCATAACGCGATATCCAAAACGGAAGCAGAAAAGATACCTACTCATGTCCTACACCTGTGGCCTGTATGCAAATATTCGTGCCTAGGGGATATTTTTGCGGTATAAAGCGAATAATTGAAAGTGCTCGGCTAGTAAGTACAGGAGTTGACTAGCAGTAGTTTGGATTCTCTCAGTAAACCCCGCCGTTGCGTTGGTGCCGCGCGTGAGGTAGTAAGTGCCTGGACAGTCAGAACGCCTTCAAACATGCGCGTATGCAACACGGCCATCCGCAGGGCCGGATTTGTGTACTTGCCGCCCCCTTCTCATTCGTTTTGGAAATTCAATAAAAACCATCAAGAGAACGTGCCGGAAGGGGAGAGGTGCATGAGACGCGTTTACTCGTGCGCTGGATACATTTTTTGCAAAAGTCCTATCAATAACACTAGCAAAAGTTCACGGTACTTTGCGCGAAAGTTAGATTCCGTAAACTTATCTCTGTGTGGACAAGGCCTTCCATTTATAAGAAGTGAACGAAAAAATTATGAAAGAACAAACACAAATGCGGTTTGGTAATTTTAACTTCCGCCGCCGCGCCACACTAACAGCAACTGTGTTTGACGCAATGCGTGAAGTATTCATGCAGTCTTGTAGGCGCTATGCACTCACGTCGAACGCAGCTAGCCGCTCTAGGTTTGACGCAATGCGTGGAGTATTCATGCAGTCTTGTAGGCGCTAATATGTAAGTGTTTTGTGCCGACCGCCGCGCCAGGGGCTTCTCCTTTCATCTCAAATCCTTGTCATTCCTCTCTGCGCCGCGTCATTCCAGGCCGAATTCTGCGTTTGGTTTCTCTCTTAACTCGACTAACTGAAGGCGCTGTAGCTTGTATCACCGAAAGAAAACAAAATTAGAAACTACTATACTCTCAGGAAATGAGAGATTTTGTCGCCTTTTCTCATTTGTAATTTTTTGACTGAATCCGATTTTTTTTCATACCTACATTTTAAAAAATTGCAAAATTTGCCGCCGTGGGCCGCGGCCCATGTGGCCTCCCCTAAATCCGGCCCTGGTCATCCGTGGAGGCCGAATAGTTACATCCAGGACAGTGTTCGAAACTCACCTTTGAGTTATAGGAGCCATGTGGCGCATCAAGCCCGATTTTTAGGCGCCATTGAAGATTTTTTAGGGGCCAAATTGACTTTTTGCCTATATATTACGGCGCATTTAGTGAAAAGTTAGACGCAAGATGTTTTCGTAACTGAACTAGTAAGTACTTAGCTGTAACTTGGGGAAGACAAAAGCACAAATGATGAAATCGTGAAGAATAGAAAAAGCTCTCACTTGCGGTGCTGAAAATTTCGAATAATCACCTAATATGAAAATTCAGATTTCTAGGGGAGGCGCATTTGGCGCCTGTGAGTTTCAAATACTGATTCGGGAGTTAAAATGAACTTCGTGTAGTGTTCGTCACATTTGAAAGTAACTATGCGCACATTGCTTGTTCCTCTTGAGCCATAACGTACTTTCAGCGCTGCCTGTTGTGCCGACGAAGTAAACAATTACTAATTTTTATCGCAACATTGCCTATTTTCTGAATTATGCTTTGATTTAATAAATGCATATAACAACGTTCCTGCCCTAAAATGTGGGCTACGACTCCAATCCTCTCTGATATAAGAACGACAAATGCGGCAAAGTCGTTTTGTTGTCATTTCAGGAAAAATTTGAGCGTACCTACATCTTAAAATATATTTTTTTTTTTTTTTTTGCTGAGGAGTTAAGAAAAAGTTCATTCAGAAATTTAAATCAACCTGCGGTTGATTCAAAGTCCGGCGGTGGGACCCGGAGCCCGTAAAAAACATACCCAGGAGCGAAAATAGTTATCTATGCAAAATAGACACATTCATCCTTGAGCTTTGAATGCTTTAATTTAACAAGGATGTAAGCTTTTCGTTTACTTTACAACTTCTTAAAAAATTGCAGTTGGATGAATTTTGTTGTAATTTGGGACTATATCGCAAGCTACCAAACTACAATTTGTAAAATATCAGCACTTAATCTGCAAACTTAGAAAAATTATGAATCATTCCCAAATTTCCTATTTTCTTCCAGATAAATCTTCAGTTTAAACCTCATGTTTGACGAGAAGCTGTGTTTTTAATCAGCAACTATTTATGCTACAAGTCTAATTGCCTTCTTTATGTTACGCTTAATGAGCATACTTACATCATTAAAGTGCTTTAAGTCGCCTTACTAACAATGAGCTGTCCTCTAGCATCATGTGACATTTTTGAAGTGGGTACCAATTTAAAAATCTCTTATTACTCAAACGAACGAAATCGTAATTTGGGATGTAGGTACCTTCTTTTGTTAATACAAATTTTTAAATATATGAATGGTACACTGCCTTTTTTTTTTTTGTCTATTTTGATCTATTTATTTGGATGATTTATTACTTGAAGAAAATATAATGAATACTGTTTCAGAACCATTGAAGTGATGATTATTTGAATGTTGAACAATGCTGGCCGCATTGTACCAATCTGGTCATTACATAATGTAAAAATGTAGGAGGCATTAATGTAGGTACGCGTATTAAAAAAAAAAAATGACCAATTAAAGTAACAACCATTTATATAATTTTCTCCAATTTTTTTTTATATCTTATTACTAAATAGTGTAGGGATTGTTTCCTTTCAATTCTTGAATTATTTATCAATTATTAGTGGATACTGATGAAAAAGAACTTTTAAATAAAATGAGGGACAAGATAATTATAAGTCTATAAGCTCGGATTGTCACATCTTGCCAATCAATGAGGAAAGAAGAAGTGGATAAAGAAACAGGTTATAATAGAGGGCTCATTGAGGGGGAGATTCCCGGGGTAAAGGCGCCGTGGGGTTGAGAGGGACTGCGGCATAAGATTTCCTCAAGGAAAGGAGTAGGATAGGAAGGATAGGACCGAAATATTTTTATTTCTGCGACTGATTTGCTGAGATTCTCCGGGGCATTACGCCCTGGGGTCTGCCATGAGCGGCAGGGGCTTCCGCCTGGACCCCCTGGGTTTATTGGGCACTCTTGCCCCCCAAATCTTCGCAAGCGGAACCATTATGTCCCCCTCGTGGATGATGAAGGGTTGGGGACGTCCAGGGACCCTTATGGGGTTCTGCACCTCTGGTGGCTACGGGGCGTTAGGCACAGGAAGATATCAGCAAGCCATGAACAATCCAAAAAAAAAAAGAGTAGGGAAGAGAGGATGCCAAGGTTGCTGCTACTGGATCATCGGACGCGGCTGCTTGTAGGTCATTAGACGCTGCCCTTGCATTTTTTGTTGACTTTCATCTTTGCTTTTCTGTTTTGCTTCTTTGCTGCAGGTGCTGCTGCTGATGAGTTACCTGACGCTTATTCCTGCAACCGAAGGTACGTGAGGTGTTATGAAATACATCATTTTATTTTTCCTCGCTCCCAAACAAAGGCTGCACTCATCAGGATGTCTACAGAAACTGAATGGCAAAAAAATTCAGATCTTTCCAGATTTTTGGAAATCTTTCAGAGACCTTCATCATCACAATTTGGAAAACGCTATTCGTCCAATAATAACCTGCATTCCAGCATTTCATGAACCTTTGAAATAAATAAGAAAAAAATCGAGAAATACGTACCAGAAATAAGACCTGGAAATTGTGACAGTATGTTCAGCTAGGACTTGCCATCTCTGGAATCATCCTTCCTAATTGATATTATTGCATAACATCGAGGAGACTTTACAGGGTCAAAAATTTGAGCAATGAATGAGTCTTCTACACCCTAGAAGAAAAAAAGGAAGAAAAAATTAGGGAAACAAAATTTAACAGCAAAAAATTATTAAATAATATTTTAATTTATTTTACCCAAATTAGTGCTTGGAAGCTGTTTGGCTTGGAAATTATTGTTATTTACGGATGATCTCTGTGCTTGGTGGATTCTGAGGGAGCAAGTAGGCATAAATAAACTAAAGTTCATCAAATCTGGTTGGAGGATTTTAGCCAAATTCTCAACCCAGGGCTGCGTTTTTATTAGACTAGATTTTGCAATTCAGGACTACAATTTCTATAAGTATATGAATTCATCCATAAAAACACATGTGCACATAGGGAAACTAACGGTATATATATACATTGTTTCTGAACTGAGCCAGAAATTGTAGTTCCAAATTACAAACTGTAGTGAAATTATTGAATGATTTGATTGCTGAAAGGAAGTACCTGTTCATGAAGATAAAGCAAACGATCAAGAAGAATAAGAGACTCTAACACTGGAGATAATCCAACTCGTATCAAAAAAAACATCTGAATTCGGTCAAAGTGATGATAATGAGATCTGTAAAGTTCATCTAATTCGTCTTCCGTAACCTGCAACAATTAATCATTAACAATCAACTATCAAGGAAGACAGAGAGAGAGAATTCAGATTGTTAAGGAGCACTTAAATCGCAGCAGAGGGTTTTTAAAATTTTTAGGAAGAAAAAAAAATAAACAAGGCTTGCTTCAATACACTTATTATGAATAAATGATGAGTTAGATGCTGCATTGAATCCTGAACCATATTTTGATAGTGATCTGATGGCAAAAGATGGTAAGATGCATCCAAACCCTCATTTTTACATCTTGATTACCGCTTTGCTTTTCATTACTTGTGCGCTTGAAGCAGATGCAATTCCTCCTGATATTTCAGATCAGGGGGCCAATAGAGATCAGGCAGCATTTTATGTCATTTACTGCCATATCTAAGATATTTTCATTCATACTGGGCAAAGAAAGTCAGCATTTAAATGGATCTAATTTTTGGACACTCACATTTTTGCAATCTAAACGTGGATGTTTCTTTTGAGTGGAGGTAGGAACACATTCCTTCTAAAAGGTTAAATGACACACTTGTTAGACTATCACAACATAATAAGGCTTGGTACCTACTGGCACAAAAATTAAATTAATCGAAATGTAAGTTGTGTCTTGAATAATCATTAACAATTAAAACTGGATAAACGTATATAAAACAAGATTAAATACTCACAGTGGCTTTGAGCCCTATTTTTTTCACAGCTTTTAATGCATACTCTGTAAAATTTGTGCACTTGAGTGCTAGTCTGCCAACAACGCAATAAGGGAAATCATCACCGTTAGATTTCTTTGTCAATAATACTTGTAACAGCGATCGATAAAATAATGGTACTGTGACTAGCTGTGAACAGAACAAAATCACTACAGGTGAAGACACAGGCCATTATAAAACTGAAAACCAATGTAAATTTACCTGTTAAAGGTAAAAACAATGTGCAAATACATAATAATCTGATGTACTTATAATTCTGAAAAAAAGAACAGGCACTAAGGAAAAATGAGTAAGCAAGGGTAGAAGACACAAGAAAATGCCTGGGTGGGAAATGCCTGTAGGTACTTACAAAACAAGATTCATGTTTTGATTTTTAGTCAATTTCATTTCATCATTTCTCGTTTCCTGCTACAAAGGGGTGGGACCAACCACTCAAAAGTGTCCCAGGAATATTTTATCATAATAATATACTTTCATTATCTTTTTTGTAGAAGGAAAACTAATCTGTCATGATACAGGATTTTGAGATTCTTTTTTTCCTGAATAAGTATTTCCTTGGAATTGATAAAATATAACAATAAAACAATTTTGATAGCGATCAAACCAAAAACTCAAGTGCTCCTGGTTCTATCATAAAACTGTGCAATAAATGTATAAAAGAGGTTGAGATATTTCTAAATATTTCAAGAGGAATAGGCAAGGTAAACTCCATTGTATTTCTCACCTATATAAGAAAAAACTGTGACAGTAAAAGGAAAAAACAAAAACACAATTTCTTCATTTTTAATGTGATGGTTGAAACATCCTGCCTTCATAGTGTTTTCAAATTTTCGGCTTTGTTTTGTCCATTTTCTGTATTTGTACTCCTTTGCATTTTTTATTATCTATCAAGGCAATATCAAGATAACAAGTTAAGAGGCCTAGCAAAATTCTGCGTTAACACTTTAGAAAGCATTCAAAGTAGAAAGTTACCTTACGTTCGTGAAGGACCCTTTCCGGGCTCTGCGTGGCTAGCATTCTCGGATTCCGACTCAAAAAGAACTCTCGCTCTCGGAGAAAGGAGCTCATGGGAAAACCTGGCTCTGACTGATCTTCCGTGCAGGCTTTGATCTCATTCCAAAACTTGTCTTCGCTGAATTCTTCTTGTATTAGATGATAGCAGCAACCAATATTGAGTAGGAATTTGAAAACGTTTAAATTTTGGACAAAAATTCTTAAATGAGCAGATGCTAAATTACCACAGGTGTGAAGACCCACTAGACCGGCACCGGAGATGCTGTCCCCAGGAAACGAGTCCCTGAGAATATGCCGGATATCGGTAGTCGATGTAATAAACTCGGTCCTTTGTTTGAAAAGAGGATTACCTGCTGCCTCGGAGTTTAGAAAGTTTAAAGTGGATTCAGCTGCAGGAATTTTCTTCTTTGACTTCCAATTTTTTCCTTTTTTCCCCTCATATGGATTCTCTGCGTTGTATTTCATACGGTTCCACACTTTCTGAAAAGAAAAAGAACCATGAGAAAATTTCAATTAAAAACAGAGAGAGGCATAGTGAATATGACTGGGTCTCGAGTACTCTGCTTTTAGTGAATTTATAAGTAAATTTCAGACCCTAAAAAATGAAGGGTTCCCCATTTACCTTTCCTCCATTGCTCATGGATTTCTATGCTGCATTTAGAACCTTAGTGATACTGATACGTATCATAGTATTTTGGAGGCTACCATAGTCGATCTGAAAAATTTTGAAAATTCCTTAGTCCAGGAAAAGACTCATAAAATGATTTTCTTTATAAACTTCTCAGTACCTACAAGTAATAAATAAGTAGTCAAGGGTTCGGATCCATCCTGAGAATGAAAATGTTTTCACTTGAGCAATAGCTAATGGGAAAAGATAAAATAATTTGAGAATAAGTTCTGCAGAAAATATATTTCTGCTTCGATAGTGCTCAGAGAATTCCTCAAAACTGAATTTTGCCGATCATGACACAGTGCAAAGTTTAAAGGTGCAATTGGCATTCTAAGTGGATTGGTGACTCCCAATTTTTTAAGTTTATTTTCATACGGTGAAGAGCGAATTAAATTTCTGGAAATTTCTCTGTTTTGCCAACCCTTAAGGACAAAGAAACTCCTACTTGAAAATGCCAAATATGAACACTTGAAGCACGTTTGAAATGATATTTTTGGCCAGCTTTGATGACTTAATCAGGCGGGGGAAACAACGCTTGCTGATTGGCTGAACTCAGTTTCAGGCATCGCTCTGTTACATTATCTATTGGTTGGTCGGAATTTGATTTACTTTTTCTCCTCTTAGAATTAATATTTTGAGCTTTCTTATGAACTATTAGGTTTTATCATGAATTTTACGTCAAAAAAACTATACTGCAACCCTGCAAAAATTCCTTACCACTGTCCAACTATATTCATAAGTACCTAAACCAAGAATGAATTCTTTTAATCATAATACTTACTTTTAATCTTTCCAATCTCTCTGCAGCTCCGTGAGTGTTACCTCTACACTGATCAATACTTAAAACTTTCAGATTGTGCTGCAAAGATAAATTAGAACTAAGGTAAGCTTTTCCACCTCCAATATCCACAATATGAGAGCAATCTGTGGCAGAGACCATACTTAATACTACTTGACTCATAACATCTACTTCATAAGATTTTTTTTCCGACATCAGGCGAGAAATTTTTAGGTTTGTATGCTCCTTGCAGTGTAAAGAGGCTAATTTTGTCTGCAAGTCATTCAGAGACAGGCATAAGTTTGGTTGAGAAGTCAAGGACATTTTTTGAGCTTCTATGAAATGTTGAACTAATGGAGAATTTGAAACATCATCAGATAAACATGTTGGGTCATCGTGATACCGCCAGAGTAGGTTCGTAATATTTTCGAATCCTTTGGTGGAAAACTCAGCTCTTAGGTTTTCAGGCACAGTGTTATCCCATTGATTGTCAGTGATGAAGTTCACAACATGACTGTTCACTAAAGGTAAAAATGGTGTGAGGTAGTGAATCATATCCTCCAACTTTTTGCGTAAAACCTCCTTTGTTGCCATGATAGTGATGGTCTAGTTAAAATGAAAAATCTGCAGAGCAATTGACGTCAAATTTTAATAAAGAGCAAGCTTTCTTGTAAGATGCTGAGATGTTGTTTTTCAGTTCTACAATGTCTATGTTATCATCAATCTTCATGGGAAACTCATCTATCAATGATTTCACTTTCGATAACGCCAGTAGTATTTTATCCGAGAGAGTGCAAATTTTTTGGTCATGTAATGTCAGCCAAGTGTTTACAACGCCTTTGTAATATCCAATCTCCGTGCCACACTCTTTTCCTCGATGATATCCGAGGTGAAAGCCACTCAATTCTCCGTCATTCGTGCCTTTCCGATAGCCTTCTGAGTAGCCTTGCTTGACTAGTTTACTTTCACTGAGAGCAATGGAATCAAACACGTCATTTATGTCGACAGTTTCTGACGTTTCTAATCCTGCTGCCATTGTGTAGCATTGATAACTGACTGACACAGATTAGTGTATGGAGCAAAGCGCAACATCGAGTCATTCAGCCAAAACTAAGATATCCTTCGTTGAAACTTCAGCAGAAATATTTCTATCGAGTCAACTATTTTTCCAAACACAGAGAATCTTACTACAGGAACTTGGAATAGATTTTAATGAGGATTTTTTTAGGATTACAACATTAATTACTGAAAAAATTATGCAATAATTTGAAAACACACGTAAACAGTCACCACAACCACATTTTATTTTGAAGGTTAGAAAAAACGTTGCGATCCTCCGAAAATCAGCGATCATCAGCCAAAAACGCGCGAAGCGTGGCGTAGTGAAAAAAAAGTAAACAAAGTATCATCGTAAGTGCTTTTCATGAATTTTCTTGATTTTATTTAGCCTTTCCTTAGTTCTCTTGATAATTGAGTTATTTTGCAATTAATTACATAATGGATGGAGTAGGAGCACCCGAAATAATCATGAGAAATAGAGTCAATGGAACGTTTCTCAGTCAAAATGTTGGCAAGCCGATCTCGATCATCGGAAGCATATTGAAGGTAATTTTTTTTTCACTATCGATTAATCACTAGGATTCACCATGAACACTTCTTACGTTGTTCCGATGTGGAGCAGGAATTTTGAAGGACCTCCAATTCTACCATTAGTGCCTGAACTGGTAAGGTTAGGAAGTCCGTCAGCGGTACATGCCATTTTTGATGAAGTAATCCGGTATCGACACCACCACCACCAAATTTCAAGTGGTAAATATGCGTAAGGAGGAAATGCTCCTACAGATATTACTGATTAGCCGTACGCTAATTTAAAACCCAACACTTCTGCAAGTGTAGGGGCCATTTCAAATTGTTGCAGCGTTTGTTATGTAATATGAATTTATACTGAAAAGAGTTAACTACGTATTCAATCGTGGTCACAGTACAGAAATCGTCAAGGAAGGTGCTACCTGTGGGCAGTAAGGCAGTGGACAAACTCTGCTTCAGCGTCCATCACTTAATGCAATATTTTTCAGTTGTGGCAAGCATATCAGAGCTCTTATCTTGTTTTGGTTAAAACTGCCAACAAAATCTTGTAGGGTGTCAAAATTATTGTGACATTTTCGTATCTCATCTCAAATATCCATCAACTTCCCAGTTTCTCCTAATTTTTCACCAAGAAAAAAAGTTTTTATCATAAAATTTCCTTACGCACTTCAGGATTCCCTCCTTAAGCAAGCTAGGATTTGTGCACTGAAGTATTTTCTCAACCGTTAAGGATAAGCGTGCTTATTTGAAAATGCGTCCCTAGTAAGTTCAATGTTTCCACAAAAAACGGATAAACTCACCAGAAATTAAGGGAGGATAGAATGTCTACAGAGGTGAAAAAGGGAATAAGTACATCCCAGGGGCGAAAAAATTTTAACAAAAAGTGTCACTGAAAAATAAAATTGTATCTACCGTGTCTGTGCTTTTCATTACAGATGAATCCCAGCAACAATGGCTTTGACATTCAAACAACTGACAATCATGTTGTTTCTGTAAGTTGTAAAGAAATGATCTCCGAGTGCCTGGATGGTCTAGTTGAAGTTAGAGGCATCGCTGAAGGGAAGAATTCTGTTACCTGTGATTATTACATCCTATTTCCTCGTGAATTGGCCAGCACGTTTGGTGAGACTAAAAATGCTCCTTGTTTGTACCTTTATACGAAAGGCAGGGGAAAGGGAGAGCTTTTTATATAATACTTCAGAAAAAGATAATTAGGCTTCACTTAGCATCTCCCAACAGTTTTTTAGCGATCCACCAGTATTTGAGTGATCAAAATTTATGATGAAACAGCTTATGGACATCACTTTGTAGCTATGCCTTTTGCATCTTGATTTGTGATGAAGTCTGGCAAAATTGCCTCAAAACAGAGGCTTCACCATAGCTTCGAGGGGTCAGTTCCACATAATTTTTTACAAAAAATTACCCATTTGTCGACAAAAAAAATAAGAAATTAAAAAAAAATTGCTAGTAACGTTTGTTGGTGCAGTAAAAATTCCCTTTCTGCCCCCTAAACAGGAAAAAAGAAATGGAATGAATTCTCTGTATTCAGCAACTTAAGCAGAGATGTTTCCTCTTTTCATGCACAATATACCGAGTGTTTGACTCCTTCCTTTTCCCCTTTATTTCCATCATGCCAAATTGAGTTTGTCCAGAGCACTGGTTAAAATGTTTCAATTTTTAGGAGGCTTAAGTGAAGTCCTTTTTTTAAGATGTAGAAATTTTAAGAGGTATGAACAGCAGAAACTAGTAAAAAAAAAAAAAAATTAAATCCGTCTGCACACTACAGCAAACTCTCTCCATCAGATATGTATGTTGTTCTCACACGGCTAAAATAGATAAGAAAATTAGTGAGAACGGAGACGTACCATGTAAGAGGTATTCAGACTGAGATAGGACTCTTTTGCCATCATGTTTGTAATTCAGGAGAAACATAACTGTCACATGTTAAAAGATTCAATAAGGAGAGAAGATACAAAGGTACAATACTTTCTGAGGGAGATGTATTGTTTTGTGGGTATCTGATATGGGTAGACTATAAAATACTTTTCTGAATCTTTTTCCTCGCAAGAAATCTTACAAGTAGAGAACCTAAAATTTTTGACAACACATCAACATTTAAGTAACATTTTTGTACCTTCCAGCAAACTTTAAAGTCCCAAACATGTTGTATTTTAAATTTTGTCGTTAATGTCTCTTTTTAGTTTCATTTCTTTTGTTGGTTTTGCTTTTTCAGACACAGAGAAAGACAATGAAGCTGTGATGATCGTTAACTCCATTCCAAATGCATTTAAAGCTTAGGGATTGCTGCCTTTGGTCCTGGAAGGTAAGAAAATCGTTTAAGTTTTAATTCTATACGACTCCTTGGATCAATATTTCGCAGTTGACTCTGGCAAGCTGAAAACCAATAAGTTGACGAGATTGTTTCCCTCTCAATATTGCATTGAAACATTATTATCGAAATAAATATAAACAAGGACATCATTTATTCTTTGGAAGGCATTGTTTCTGAAAAGCACTCTCCAATGTGTCCTGGACTGGGTATTCAAATGAATGTATTGGGCCCCCATGTACCAAGGAAAATGTTAGATTGATCAAAACTTGTTGAGGGGAAAGAATTGATTAAGACATTTTGTAGAGAATTCCAGGTAACTTGCAAATCAACAGTAAAACTGCAGGAACACTCATCTCGGTTTGCAACGTTGCAGACTTTTTGTCATACTTTATTTTTTAAGTGGTAAAAAAGTCAACGTTGTTACCTGCAAACTTCTCAGACATTTTTCTCTCTGTGAAGAATAATCTATGAAATTTTCAAGCCTCAGAGTTTTTTTGTTCTCCTTCGGTAAAATCAAATGAGTTTAAGTTTTTTGAAACACCATGAACGGGGTATACAGTTCTGCATTTTCACTGTTTAAATTCAAACCTTCCACTATAAATTATTCTCTTGGTATTAGGTGATAGTTGCCTCATAATACTTGGACTGTACTCAAAAACCAGCCTGGGAATGTTCCACTAAGTTTATTATATCGGTACCAAGTTTTGTAAAAATTGAACTGAGAAAGAAATTAAAGTTTTACTCTTCCATAAGACTCTACGTCTAAGGTAAAGTTCAATACCTATTTTCCCATTCAAAATATTTATTCTCTACTTCAAACTTACAGCAGGAGAAAAAGTGTGGCTAGTTAAACGCAAAAGTACTCCCACACCATTACCCCGCTTCATTTTCGTTCCTTTCTGTGAGGTAAATTGATTCAAATTGGGAAGCACTTCATAAATAAATACCCACTTCAGATGTAAACATATTTATAAGAAACAGATAAAAAAAAAAATACAAATGCACACTCGACAATGGAGGAAAATGAAATCAAACACTAGGAAATGTTCTCCTTCTCCAAAAATACAATGTTTGTTTTTACAACTACTTGTAATCGCTCAATCAACCAATTTAATATTCTATTAAGATCAGCATTATTCTGTTTAATTGTAGTTGCAAAATTGAGACCCAGCAAAAGGCTATTGGTCCACACCAGTCAATTTGTACTCTAACGCCAACCAAATAATTGGCTCAGAAAACCTTTTCAAAATAACACTCTTTTGTAATGGACTTTTAAATAGTTGGAAGATAAGATCTCAAGTTCCTCCCACTATTTTTTGTACCTAGCTTTTTCCTTCCTTCATACGTAAGCAGTGTGGAGGTAAAAGAAAGTAAATACCTGTTTTTTCATGCAAATTGCAAAATTAAACTAATACAAAAATGTACACATTTCCATCTGGAGAATGTGATTGTCTTAAAGAGAGGCAGGAGGAATTCTTTTGTCGATCACCATACTGTATAACAGGTGTGAAGACTTGATTGACGATTTTTCATTTGAGCCATAAACATGATAATACAGTGCTGCAAATTTTTAACTTGCTTAAAGAAAATGGCTTAACTGCCACAACTACCTGTCGGACCCTTTTCAGTCAATTTTAATTACAGTTTTACAGGGTTGTCTGATGTAAATATTGGAATGTCTATTGTAAAGTTGAAGCTTCAAAGCATAGTTTAAAGAAATTTTACGGCTTGTCCGTTAGCATTCATGTTAAGTTGGAGAGAACACACATTCTCATGGTCAGAGGCATAATCACACTTTGGTGCTGAAAACAATGTTGAGAAACTGGTCATAATGAATTGTTATCGTTCCATCTTGATCCGTGTCAAGTTGTCTGAAGGCATTTGTTAGGTTCTGTAACATAAGAAAAGATCATGATTTAGCTTGCAAGTTTTTTTTTTTCTTCGTTGAACTTTTTCCTATCTGTCGTGGTTGATAAAGTAAATTTGTTGACATTTGCATTTTGTCCAAGTGAGCAGGCTATAGGATTTCTCAGGAGAAATAAAGGCAGTGATGAATGCAATTCTCATTGGATTATTATATCCAGGAAAATCCTCTGAATAAGTCAATCCCAGCTACATCAGGAGATAATAATGGTTTTTGGCTCAATGACTAGCATAAGTTTCAGAAACCAGGTTGACCATCAGTCATTTTGGGGAGGCCTACACAAAATAGAAACAAATGCTGAATTTTTTTATTTTAATTTTTTTAAGACCGAAACTTACCAGCAGCATTACACAAGCTTGAATGAAGTCATCGAATAAAATTGTGCCTTTCCCATAATGATCAAATTTTTTCATCAAAATATCAATAGTGCCCTCTGATAGCCTGTAACCAAAAGTTGTGAGGGCTGTGGTGAATTCATTCTTGTCAATATTGCCGCTTTGATCTCTGTCAAATGATCGAAAACAGTTTTGCCAGTCTGTGACGTACTTCCACAAATGCCCGAAATCCTCAAAGTTTATTTTCCCTGTGTTTTGCTTGTCAAACATAGCTGGAAAAAAAGTATAAAATAATAAATTAGACAGTGAGCAGAAAAACGAAATACTTAAAAGGACTAGACTCTTAAAAAGGACATTCTATCATTTTCTTAAAAATACACCCTCAAAAAGGAACTTGAACTTCCCTTTCATACATTTCTCAAAATAAATACAGCAAGCAAAATGCAGTGTGACTGCTTTTAATCACCGCTATGTTACTCGAGAATTACTGATTTAGGTAGAACGCGAAAATGACACAATGACCTCATTTTATTATCGTAAACTCACACTAATATTTGGACTCATACCTGAATTTGACATAAAATCACAGTATTATGATAAACCCATAAACTTGTAACCGAGAAACAAGGATGAATCATTTCAAATCTCATTATTCCATATCATTCCCCTCTTTTTTTTTAAATGACAGACAATTTTGATGATGCAGTCATAACTTACCTATCATTAGTCTAATTGTTTCCGGATTAAATGGTTTCCAGGTTCCATTGGACAGTGCCACCTGCAGTTCATTTGCGGTTATTGTCCCACTTCTGTCCTTGTCAACCCTAGAATTCAGAAATCAGTCTCATTAATCGAGCAGTTTTTGTGGGATTAGTTAAATAAATTCCTTTCGTACTGATTAGAATTGTCGACAAGCATGGGAATGACAAAATAAGGAAAATGATTATTTTTAATTGTAGTAAACTGGCATCAATTGGTGAACACTCAGTTATTCCTGTTAATGCCAAGTCCATTATTCATACGGCCCTCCAGACTGAAAATGGTGAAATTGACATGAACAGCATGTTATGAACATTGAATGCCTAGAATTAATGTAGTGAACGAGCTGGAGTAATATTGCGACTAATGAACTCCCACTCTTAAATGTGCAGGCCTGCTGAGTATGGATTTGCGTATATTTCCAATAGGAAACAGCTATTTAAACCGCAAGCAAATGTGACTTAGATGATGAGTAGTACGTAGAAAATTGATGATGAATGTTACCCTGAACAGAAAGACAAAATAAACAACATTTCATATGTGATCCATAAATTAAAAGTTTTATACAACACTAGGTGCTTGAGTATCTAAAGTGTACCAGTGTTCCTAGCAGACAGAAGTCCCTGAATTCAAAGATTATTAACCATTCAGTAACCCTATGCTACACTCATTGTCACTGGACAATTGCAGAAAGTCCTGTATTTTTTAAAATTCAGTGAACACCCAAAGAGTGTTTTTCTGATCAGTTAAATTTTTTTAGTGTAAAACGGAATAAGGTGAGGTTGGGTAACTGGGCGGTGGGGTAACTGGGCAGTACCCTCTGTATTTCTACCATATTAGTGCAAAAATTGTTTTCACTGTTGGCATACCTTCATTATGACGTAAACCATCTAAAACATGTAAACATAACTTTAAAAAAAAATTTTATGGTGAATGGTGAAGTGCCGAAAATTGGACAGCTTTTTTTTCAAAACAACGCCGGAGGTGGTCCCGAAAAGAGCCTCATATCTCACTCCCAGCAAGTATTTTATTCAACTTGACAATTCTTCTTCATGTATGATGTATTTGTGTAATGCGTGAGTAATTACAACGAAATTGGATGAAAATACTGGCTGCAAAGGGTTGATGCCCAGTTACCTTGAAAATTTTCCCTTTGTGGGGTAACTGGGCACCCACCCCAAGGTAACTGGGCAGGTGGCAGTGGTGGCACCTGCCCAGTTACCCATTGCAAGGTTGCTGTGCTTCGGTGTTTGTTTACTTCTGAAAATGTCAAAACTAATTGACTATTGTGGACTTTTAAGTGCCAAAGACCAATAATCAGGGTTCCCAGCACACTAAACTTCTAACTTAAGTCAATTATAGCATAACTTAAGCATTACTTAATTACATTTTTGCCGCTAACTGTTATGACCTCACTTTTAACGACTTAAACATGGTTATATAAATTCAAATGAAATTCTCTGAAACCCTCATGAGAAGGACATTCTTTTCTGGCCAATGAGAATTACAAATAATGCCCCCCTTAAAAATTAAGGGAACTTTTTGGCGCCTGACTCTATCCCAGATCAGCCTTGCGGCTTAATTTTTTTTCATTTTTTAAAAATGTATCATGCTTAATCTCACTAAAAGTGGCCAAACAGTGTCCTGGTATACAATACTACTTTATAAGTAGTAATACAGAAAGTTCTAAGCATTTATCTACAAGGAAACAATTTTTTTTTACCGTTATTCAATTCTCAGATTTGAGGGTTTTTTTGCCGCTAACTGTTACGACATCATTCTTAACCACTTAAACATGTTTATATACATTCAAATGACATTTTCTTAAACCTTCATGAGCAGGACATCACTTTCTGGCCAATGAGGATTAAAAATAATGCCCCCCTCAAAAATTAAGGGGGGGTAGTCCAGTTACCCCACGACGTTGGGTAACTGGGTGAAAAAAACGGGAAATTTTTGAAACTTTGTGGGAAAAAATTGAAAGATGAAATTCGACTTTTGACTCTTCCTACATTTAGACAAGGTGTTGTACTTACTAAAAAAAATTTAAAAGTAGCCTCCACTGTCAATATAATGATGGGAAAAAAATCATGAAGTTGAAATTTTGACATTTTTCTCCGAACTCCTGCCCAGTTACCCAACCTCACCTTATTAAGAAAGTGATAGGAAAATTACCGCTGAAATATATCCATAAGAAACTCTCGAGAAGGTAGCCCTGCCGGTGGTGCTGCCATTGTCTTTTTCTTTGCGAGTCGACCAGAGTTTTAATGTTTTATCGGTTACTGCAATGTTTTCCTTTTAAATTTGATTCAACACAAAAAATCTTCACCGAAATAAATTAATATGACTAAATCTTGTGCAAGGGGTGATTCACTTCAAATATTTTGATTCATCAATTAACCTCACTTTTAGTGTAAACATGGTCAGGTCCCGAACTTCATCATTCAACATCACCATTCAGCATTGTTTTCGTTGTACCAGCATTTCTCACTTGCTCTCGTCTTTAAAGAATTCGAAAAGTCTCCGAAAGAGTATTTCTTATTCTGAATATAAGTAATCGTCTCTTGAAGTATAGCTAATTATATCTTACAGTAACACATTCTAGCTCTGAATCTAACCGCAGATCCTTAACAGGTATGTCGTGTTTTTCAGTTCTTTGTCTCGCAAACACATGGCTAATACCTGGAGCCAAAACAAGTACTTCCCATCTATTTTTGAGAGCGCTTATCATTACTGTGCATATTTAATAGGGTGCTCATTCAAAGAAAAAAAAGAAAAGAATTCCTGATAAACGCTTTTCAGTGCTTAACAAATCTTCCAAATCAGTTGTTATGACAAACGAGACGACCTAATGGTTCGAACAATGTTCCTAAAGCCAATTATATAACTTTCTTTGGGTACAAGTGAACATTGAGTCAAAAAACCGTATCATATACGAGTCTTCCGACAGCATGATTACTTGAATTGGGATGTGCAAAAACCGCTAATGTCTATTTTTCGAGTCGTAAGTTTTTTTGAGTTCATAGTAAGAACTTTCGATACATAGATGATATGACTTGTCTTGGGATTAAGGAAACTCAAAGATGAGTTTTAAAGCCACTTTCGTGGTTGGAACCAACTCCCCAAAGTATCATGGACACAAAAAAACTTAAGACTAAAAAAATGTATATTAGCGGTTTTCGCACGTCCTGATTCAATGGAGTGGCAACTGTAATTGAAATACTTTAAGTTTTTTCAATGTTTGATCCCCCATATCTTTAATTCAAGCATGTTGTGACAGAAATTTCCTGTCTGTGTTGTGGAGACAGAAGGTGCACAGTTTGTAAGACTGTGTGCATAGTTACGAAACTTACCAGCAGCAACACCGTTGCATGACCATTTATTAACCTCATTGTCACTTGAAATTGTGCGGCTGACATAACGTTGTGAAGTTTTGACACACGCAATAGATTTTGGAATATCTTTTAAAGAAGTATGCTATGGATACTAAAAAATTTAGTGCCAACTAAATTTTGATATTATCTGATATGATGTTCCTTACGGACTCCTGAGCTAAATGAGCTTTTAAAATCAATTATTCCATGTGTCAGTCTAGAGGGAAGCAGGGCTGAAAAGTGAATTTGTCAGTATTTCAACACAAAAACCTCCAGTAGAAATATTACAATACCTTTACCTTCATTGAAGGAATCTTTCGTTTCTTTGCAAGCAGGGAAGATAAAGCAGATGAAAAGAAAAAAATTCCTCCAAATGATGACAGCTTTTGGTACAGTGTCCTCACACACATTGTGACAGTCCTATATTTTGACTAGACTTCATGTGAGAGAAGGCCAAAAAATCCCCTTTCCAGCTTCGCTTTTCTCGAGATTAGCACATAAATAGCCTGATTATGAATTTTCATTGTACCCAGGAGGTCATAGGAACACCACTTGGAATTATGTTGGATTTCAGCCGGCATCAAATTTTTTTGGTGTTGCATGCCAAGTCCTTTTGATAAGCCCAGTTGCACACATTCATACTCAATGGACGCTATTAGTGCAACGTCACAGAAAAGCGATATTTATCGATTTTTTCGCATTGGTAGCATTGAAAGAGGTTATGCCAATGTTATTGTTTGGATCCAATTCGATATAATGGAGAATCCCTATGATGACGTCGCCACTAATAGCGTCTATACTTACCCACAATTTCAGGAGCTACTGGAAATGTTCCGAGGGATTTTTATGGGAATATTTCCCGTCTTCATTCTGGGCATTTGACTCGCCCAAAAAAGTTTAATCCCTCCTCATTGAGAATATTTTTCATTTTTTTACAGATTCAAACATGATCCTCCGAAACCTCACCAGTATCGAATTCAAGGTAGAGGACCTATCAGAATACAATGCCATTCGCAAGTCAACAGAGGCTCTGAAAGATCAGAAAGGAAGACCTACAGGCTCTGTTCAGAAACCGAAACAACAGGAAGTACAAGTCAGAATCGGCTACAACCCTCATCACCGTAAAATGATGTGATTTGTCTTCGACTCAACACTCAAAAGTTCCTTCCTCATTTTTATCCGTGATTTCATCGAGACTTTCCAGAAATTTTCCTCCCCCCTAGAGAAACTCATTTCAATGGCGCCTCGCAGTGTTTTTCTACTTTATAATGGAGTTGTTTCTACATCTCTTTGTCTTTTAATCCTCAAACAGAACCTCAACTTTACCCACTGATAATTCAAAAATTGAATCATAATTAGCACTTCAATGTTCCTGTACCATCTTACTATTTAGTTGATCATGCTTCCTCTGTCAAGGAACATGAAACCAAGCATTCATCTTGCTAAAAATATTGTGGAATTTTTATTTCATTCTTACTTTTAAAATTCCTGATTAGCAATGTATTACTTTCTTTGTATCAAACAGCGTCCAAAATATTTCATACTGAATTTAATAAAACCTACTTTATTTTGTTAAAGTTCAGGTATTTCATTTATTTTTGCTTTGAGCTTTCAACTCTTAGCCCCCTCACCAAACTTTGAAAATGCAAAAAAACATAAAGAAAGGTAAAGGATAAACTGTTGCGAACGACTGCAAGTTGAACTAAGATCAACAGAAATAAATGGGGACAATAAAAAACCTCAATTTCCAGGAGGTTTTTAACAGTCTTTTTTTAAATTTCTTCTAGCCTTCAAAATTCTCCTGGAAAAAGTTTTATGCGTACCAGTGATTGAATCAGCAATGAACCTAAATTACAAAGAAATAGAGGACGAAAAGAGGTATTGATTCTTATTCATCTCTCATTTGCAAATTTACTTTACTCATTTTTCTGATGATTCCACTTTAATGTTACTTATACTACTTTTAACAAAGCCGTTTGACTGGTGGCCACAATTTTGGTTCTTGACAATAAGAGTTCTAAGTCTAGGGATGGTGTTAGATACCAGGAGATATCATGAAAAGGGTAGCTTCTAATCTTGCTATAATTTAGTGAAACATTGTTCGTGATTGTCATAATGACTTAAGCAATATTGCTAAGGCATATCAAGCGCTTTTCTTCCACATTTTCTTGCTCCACCATATCATCATTATTATCATCATTATTATCATCAACTCACAAGTGAACAAGAAAAGAACACTGAAAATGTGGCCCTAACTGTGAGTAACAAGGTGGTAAAATAGCGCTGGGTCCACACTATTTTGCGGGGAAAACAAAGGCGTTTTGATGCTGTCTTGGATTTTGTGGAATGCCAAATATGGCTCACTAACTTGCCTGATCTACTGATGAGGTCTAAAAAGACCTATAAAGCTATGGATCTCTTGGCCGGACCTCAACTTAGTAAGATGCAGCTACCTGAGCTGAACACTCTCCCAACTCAGTCTTGCACTGATACTCATTAGAGCTTAAAATTTTGACTCCAATCGAAATTGTTATAGTTTTTGGCCTTGCTTCCCCTGCAAAATAGTGTGGACCCAGCGTTACTTTACGGCCTTGCTCCTAGGTATATAAACAACGATACTCACAGAGTTAAAATTCACCTCCGTGTGTAAAAAGTGAGCTGACATTGTTTCTGAAGTATTTTTCCGAAATAAACCCTATTTTGCGCAGTAGTAGTAATATTGTAACAGTGCTAAGCATGCTGCTGTTTCAGCAATGTTGCTTTGCTCAGCAGGAGGCTCCACAGAGTTCACGCCTCCCATTCAAATTCTGAGCTGAAGTGTACATAGATTTCTTTTGATCTGTCAAACCATAAATATCTTTTTTTACTGGTCACAAAGGACAACTTTTATTTTCATCATAGTTGGAGTACTGGCATACTCTGAAATTATGTAAGGTAATGGACGATTGCTCAATATTCCTCTCTGATCCCGTCTTCCTTATCTGATGACCAAAACACACTGGAGCTAGAGATGAGGTACCCTTTCTGCTCATACCTTGGGACAATGCTTGAAAAATAAGTACCCTGAAAATGTAGCCCTGGTCTCAACACTGCTCAGCCGTTTTCATGGTATGACAGTACTTCCATCTGAATGTTCATTATTTTGAAGCAAAATACTTTCTTTATCAATGTCTGTCCGATGAAAATAAAAAGAAAGAGTTTATTGAATGGTCAACTTTAACTGAAAAACGTTCTTTTTAATAAATAAATAAAAAATTAGATTTATGAATACAAGTAACAGTTCTGAAACACAATTATTATCGATGCCGTCGGTTGTGGCACACTTGCCAACCATCTGCATCCACACTGGAGCCTCCCCCATTTCCTGAAGAGTGACTATTGTTTCCTTGATAAAGAGTACGACTATTTCCGGCCCCTTTGCTGCTGCTATCACCTCCTCCATCATCATCGTCATCATCACTATCATCATCATTATTGTAATTTGGCTGAGCCTGAAATAATCAAATCGAGTTCGTTAGTTTCTTTTAAAAATTGTTAAACTAAAGATTACATTGCTAAATGAAAATATCTATTTTAGGATCATAGGGACAAGGTTTTTTTGAGATCACAAATTTCTATTCTGAAAAAAGAAAGTTCATCTTCACTGAGGAACAAACATTTGTCAAGTTCATAGAACAGCATAAGCTTCAGGCCAATGAGAAATGTTCTTTTTAGTAAAACATCAAGCTATTTAAAGTCTCCTAAAGTCAGTAATAGTTTTCTCATTAAATTTCAACCTGGATTGATAATATTTGTGTGATATTTTTCATTCGCCACATACGGTTTTGTCCTGTAAGATTGATCTGCACAGCAGTTAAAAAGTAGCAAAATAAAACTCCTGCAAGTACCTACATCTGTGCTGAAAAACTTGCAATGAAGTAACAATTTTCCTTTCGTTTTTCCTCTCTCTTTAAAGGAAAGGCACCGGAGGATATTCTTTCAAATATGAAGACATCTTTCAGCTCCTCTGCATTATGCTTAATACACAATTCTCAAAGAGAGCTGCTGTAGAGATGAAAATGTGAGGAATTGTTAGAACGAACAAGGCGGGCAACAATGCAGGCTAGGTGCACTCCTAATACCAACATGCCAGAGCAGGCTCCTTCCTTCAAGCTTGAACCTTTATTCACTATGCTATGCCTATCTTGCCAACTTATTCCTTTCCTTGCATTTGGCTTTAACCAACCTTCGTTTGGAGGTTACGAAATAAAATTCCATACACCCTGTCCACCATCAATGAGGCGAGGTTCATTTGTACCTGAGGAATGAAGACTCGCAGATAGCTTTTGTCACATGTAAAGCGAACACTGGAGTCAAGTCATGAAGAGCGGACAGAAAGCGCTCAGGGTGAATTATTCAATTTGGATACTCACATTGATCTGAGGTGGAGCTCTTTCAATTGATTCTTGAATCGGTAATGAGGATAAATAATCAAGTAAATCATTATGTTTTGCGTTTGACCACTGGTAATACAACTCTTGAAGCTTCGTTCCCAATTCTTCATCTGAATTATCTTCAATAAGAGTATGGAAGACTTGGTCCATATAATCGCTCAAGAGGTCACACAAGTCACCCCAGTCTTCAAAACCTGTGAAAAACAACAATGAAGAGCACTATCACTACTCACTATCTCTTTAATCATAACTCTGAATAGATAAGAACTTCAAATAGAAGTGCAATGAACAGGAGAGGTTGCAGGGGATAACTATAATTGCAAAAGGGTTAATATTGTGAGGATATCCTGAGTGTTCTACTGTTTGCTACTTGTGTTAACAAGACTGATATTATACTTTATCAATCGGAAATAATTTTTATCTTTCCCTTTTCATGCTTCAAAAGGATGATCAGAATCTTGCGGATCTTTTGAAAGTGACTGATATTTATGCTGCAAAAAACTTCAAGGTGATTTTTCCTTTCGTAGAGCCTGCCAAAAAAAAGGCACTTTTTGCCTCTTTGTGAGGGAGCTCAAACATTTTATTCCGATATGGCCTGAATGGAATGTAACCTCCTCACCAGTGAAGGATTCACCCTCCTGCCCTTGGCCTTCACTGATAGCGTGTTTCAGCAAATAAATAAGGTTATAGGGTTTCGTTAAGGCCACATTTGAAATCCCTGAGTTCCCTCAAAAAGGCTCTATTTTAACAGGCTGTTCAGTTTCACTGCGATCAAAAATGGTCAGACTTACGGTAGAAGTGTGAAATTTTGCATTTCATCAACTTAAGAAAATTGGTAGGAAAAAGAGGAATTTTATATTAGAAGTTATATTCTGTATCAATGGTAAATGTCCGAAAACATGTACCTTGTTCTGCAATATTGTAAATCCCTTTTGGCACTTTCTTTTTTCTAGAAAGAACCAATGAATGTTATTCCTTGGAATTTTTGATGGTTTATCTTCCTCCTGTAAGCAATATTCTGGGGAAATTTTTTTATTGATTTTTCTGTCATAAAAATAAAAACAACCGCAGAGATTTAGAAACATGACAGATCAAAATATGTTTTTACAACTGACACCATTCATATGGCTGGACAGATAAAGAGATTATCGAAGGAACACTTACCAAAAGTTCCAATGATCTGATACGAGTCTCAAAACAACTGCAGGCTGATCATTGAAAGTATGTCTTCATCTAATGGACAAAATTAGAAAAATGGAATAGAGCTACATGATCGGACGGCTATGCCAATGAAACGACTAGGACCAGGACAGTGAGTTCTTTGACAGAGCAAATAATCGACTGGTTGTTGACCAGAAAGAAGGGGCCTTTAGCAAGTTATCATTCAAACTGATGAAGGGCCCAACATCCTGGTCCCCGTTGTCTTACTGACACAGCCATACAATCTCATAGCTTCATCCCATTTTGGTCTAGTCTTGTCCTTCAGACATACACATTATTCACCAATCTGCCTGTCTAAATAAAAAACATACTTACTGTTTGTGGCAAATCCTTCATCAATCATGTTTATTAAATCCTGAACTTTGGCGTTTGTTTCCATAGGAGTGCCACCATACCCATGTGATATTGACAGCTGAAACAATGAAATAAAATAAGGTGAAAGTTGTTGACATTCCATCTTTTGCAGGTGAGAATACTCAATGATTATAAATCTGTATACCATTCTGTCTCATTCAATTTTTGAGAAGGAGGTACTTACAATGGAAAGATTTCTCACATGAATTTGCGAATCAACTCTAGTATTTAACAATGAAAACACATTCAAATACAAAAAACAAACAGGTATACAAGGCTAAGGAGACATAAAACAAACCAGGACGTTTCGGGCTAATTACATGCCCATTCTCAACTGCAACAGAGGCTAAAAAAATGTAAAAATTAAAACGAGAAAATGAGCATGCAACTGACGGAGGTTGGAATCAGTGAAAACTCATTCCCTCTGAGTTTGCACTGATGTCTCCTTAGCCTTGTACACCCATTTGTTTATTGTATTTTAAAGTGTTTTTATTGTTGTCTGCTTTTGGGCTATTGCGTCTCATCTCTCTCTTGTCACTCTAGTAATTATAGACCGAATACTATTCTCATTTAAGTATTTCCTAATGGGTCATGTTTAGGTCTTGGGTGAATATGTATGGGAAAATACATCAGCAATTTTGAAGAATCTCCAGCATTCATTGGGTGAAGTCATATTCCTGAATTCTACTCTCAGAGGTGATACTAGATATTTGACTGAAAAGATTTCGTAAGAGGAAGAGGCATGACTTTCAACCACACTAGATCCCGTTTCAGATTACTTTTCCTCTTTCGCTGCATTCGCAGGATAGGGAACACAGCAAAATAGGAAAAGTAATCTAAAACAGGGTCTAGTGTTATTGAATAATTTCCTCTTTGGAGCAAACATCTTCAGGGCTTGTTGCCACTAAGTGTTTGCAAAATTAATGGCCTCTACAAGTTGCTCAAACTAACTTAATTCAGACATCTAATGAATGGGCAAAACGAAATGGATCAACTAGAAAAATAAACGATTCTGAAGACTTTCTGTTGAAGGATGTGTCATTGAGCTATGGCAACTGGTTTGAAAGAAGGCAAGTTTGTTGCCGATTCATTACCCAACAACTTAAGTGGAGGCGAGCCTTTTCAGTTGACTGTGCAGTTTTGTAGAAGAGAAGCTTCCTATAGCAACGAGATATGGAATTTTTTGCGGTCTGGCTTGTAAAAGTAAATAGTTTAAACCAACCTTTAATGCAGTCCAGTTGTTGAGAACTATGCCCACGACTGAGCGAAAATTTTCAGGTAAGCTCATCTCAGCAATGAATTTCAATGAACTAAAATGTAAACATCTGTTTTTAGAAAATAAATTTAAAAGATTTCGAACTACAAAACAAGATCAGGAATAGTTCCTATTTAAATATGGTATGGAAAGCATGCTTACATGTATAACCTCACTTTTGGAAGGAAATAGTAAACAAAACAAAGTCGAAGGAGGGGAAAGGGAAAGAGGCCAATCAGATTCAAGATCAAGATTATTGGTTGTTTGGTCAGTGCTGCTCTCTGAGCGGCAAACTTAAAATTTGACCGATTTTCCTCTTCAGGTATCAAAATAGGTATAAAAATAATAATTCTCCCATAAGTACATACATTCAGTTTTCTTCATCTACATCCGTCGCTTCCCTGCCTCTAAACCCACCCCCACGTGGTCCATTCATGACAATTTGTGTCATGTATGGTCGAACTTTTTCTCATTTTAAATATAGTACGTCTTGCGGGCTGCAAAACTTTGTGACAACTAGGTATTTATTACCTCCGGCAGTTTTAACAAGATCTTGTGATTTTTTAATATCTTTAAGTGTTGTAAATTTTCTTATGGGACTTTGGGAGCCGAGAAATTTTGAGGACGACGACAACTCCATTTTGATGTTGACCCCTCCTGCCCTCTACCTACACCTCAAGCCGATTAATTTTTGAAATTTGCCAATCGGGGATAGGATCTGCACCGTAAGTCTGTAACAGATGTCCTTAATAGATGATAGAAAACCATACCTTCAGACTCATACGTAGGTTTCGGTTATTAGGTACACGATCAATCTATTCGTCGACATTTCAAGGTAACGCGGCTTCTTCATTTACTTTTGTCCTGAAAAAGCTGCGTGCCTTTGATATATTGACGAGTAGAATAATGATCTCGTAATCTTAGTTTTTTTTATGGTAGGTATGATTATTTGGTTTCTTCCAAATTACCATCATCACCTAGGCGATGGAATGTACGCGATAATTGTGGCAGGAAACGCATTTCTCAGATGCAACTATTCGGGCTCTACGATTACGGTGTTGCATGCACATAAAATGAAGGCGCTTTTACTCTAACTTTCACGCTCAGCGCTACCTAGAGCGCTGTAAGCCGCAGTCCAGACCTCATGAGACAGACCATTCAAGCATTACGATGGAAACTCAAGGTAAGTCAAGGTGAATCATCCTGTAGGATTCTCCTTTAATTTTAGGTCACTCTTTCAGTTTTAGGGTCGCCTCAAGACACCTTTCCCCCTTCCTCCACAGAGCGTATGGATCAATGTCGCACCAATTAAACAATTTCTTTAAATTTCACCGAGAACGCCGTATGCGTCTTTCCTTCGAAATTTGCTTCTACAGGAGTCTTCAGGTAATCTTGTGAATATCTGTATTCCAATTTTTTCCAATAATTCCATTCGAAATGTAAAACAAATATCTGAAAAATCTGACCGAAAATACTCAGGTATCTTCAAGTAAAAATATTTTTTGAGAGGGGAATGCGGCAATGTCTGAATGTTCAAAGTGTTATTACAGGGGTACCGAAAGTTTTTTGCCTTCATATTATTTTTTCAAGGTGCCCTTGGCCTTCACATTGCTGTCCACATGTTAGCAAAAGAACACACAGTCTTCACATTTTTTGAGACAGCCTTCACATTGCTGTCCACATTTCACTTATCGTCGCTCCCTGTCGCGAGGGCACTATCTTTATATCCACATGAGCCTCGGAAAGCATGGATTTATACGGAGATCAGGGCTCATGTCGAAATCGAGATACGCCATTTCGTCAGAGGAGCGACGTTTTGTCATCATATAAGAGTGCGTTACACAGTTTTCTTCGAGCTCAGGAGTTTTCTTCCGGAAAAAAATGCGAGATTATTGGTATTCTTTACTAAAAGAGGTGCATTCTTATGAATTACGAAGAAAAAATACAAAAAGTTAAGAAATTATAATTCAGGAGCCTTCAACCCTCGCACACCCCCTCATTCCCCCTCCCCCATTCTCAGGTATGCCTTCACACCCTTCCGGAGTTCGGCGATCGAGCACTTTCCGCACCCCGGAGCTTTTATCCCCTTTGATGGTAGTGTAAGGCGAGTGCTTTTTTTTTTCTGAAACAAGCTGTAAAAGAAAAATCGGTAACGTCAAACTATTTAAAATTTCTGCTGTCTGCAAATTGGAGCCGGTAGGCGAGAAGGACAGCGTTTCCGCTGTTGACCGTGGTTATCCAGCCCCTACCCCCCTCCTCCTCGACGCATGTAATAGTTACACTAATGAACAAGATTAGCATTCTGGAATCTGCAGCAAGAACTGCATGTTTGGATAGAGTGAGGAAAGTGCATGTTGCATGTCGCCGAGACGCCGCACTATGGTNAAATAGGGTGGAAAAAATCTTCAGTCTTAAAAGCGCCAGAAATCACATTTGAAGTTAAGTTTCTCGGTCAGGATGTTACTATTTTGTTAAACTAAGATGTAAAATGAAATCAGCGACCCAAAAAACATAAGATCCAACACCTTTTATAGCGGTGCAGTGCATTTTCGAGTAAAGTTCCGTTAAATCCAGTCTGTGGACCATAGTGCGCCGCCGCGCCGGTGGGTATGCATCCCGGCCCACTCCTCCCTCCACACCCCTCTCGAGCCCCCTCCCTCGTTTTCCCTGGCTCCGGCTCGCTCCCCTCCATTCTCTCTCAGTCTGAGACGGAACGCGTTGCGAGAAGTCACGTCGCTTCCTTTTTGGTGTTTGTCAACATCAGCTGTAAATACCAATCCGAATCGTTTCTCCGCTGATCGTCGCGGTAAATCATCGATCGCTGGTCCTAGTTTTATTTCCAATCAGTGCGCTGGTTATTCAGGATGAGAAGCTGTTAACTTCGGAGTTCTGAAAATAGTTGCTGGTGAGATAACCTCGAAATTTTTCTCCGACGGAGATCACGCGAACTTGTTTTCCAAGATTCCGGAAGTTTCGCATCTGGATGGCTCTTGGTTCCTTTACCTCGATGATGTGTTTTTAATGTTCTTTATCCTTCCAAAATACTAGTTATCAACGTGTATTTTCGAGACTTCGTCTGTCACTTCCGCACTATGGAGCAATGGTGAGTCAACATAACCTACCTAAATAGTTCTCTCTTGGGGCTGCTACCTGTTACTTCATTTTGACTGAAAAACACCTGTATAGGCACCTATCTATTTGCTCTGACTATTCGTTCTTCTCCGCCCGTTTTTCTCTCTGTTCATGGAGTCTTCTGATCCTAATACCAGTAACAGATTTGCAGGTCAGAAACATCTTGCAGTAGCTCAAGGTGACAGATTTACGCAGCTTCCTAAGATCACCTGTTGAATGATGCGCCTGTGCGACCATTCAGTCAGGTTACTGTAGGTTTGAATGCATTAGTATCAGAAGTATTTATTCTTGCGTTAAGGCTGGGAGTAGAGCATTATCATCTCAGAGATGTAAATCAAACCTTATGTCTGGCCTTTCTCTGAATAATGCGCTGAAGCGTAGCTGTTGTATCTTGTATAAGTGGACAATATTGGATCTCACTGGAGAAATGATTCTTCTCCTGAGCTGCAGGGGCATTTTTGTATGTGAATTATCATGGTCAAGGTTCTGACTTCTTCATTTTCTTAATGTTAGCCATTTATTTATTCGCAGATCTGGAGTATTTCTCTATGATTTCTGTTGTTGAAGGTTTTGTCCTGTTTTAGCTCTTGAAGCCTTGTCTTGTTTAATCCCAAGTTATTTCCAGGGTGCTTAAGGCTATTCTATTGTGTAACTGCATTACTTTTTGCCTGAAATGTAATATCTGATCTACCTTTACCTGTAATGGTTTATTTGGTATTCGTTTCTTTCACCTGCTATATACCAAGTATACCTCTAAACCATAGCTACAAACTGTTAGTGCTCATCAGATCTCTTAGCTTAGGTGGTCAAATTTTGGCTTGACTCGCGTGAAGTTAAGTGCCTTAAATTTATAGATAGATTTAGAGGCTGTCTATAATGAGGTGTAGTTAAGAGCCTTAGTGGTGAATTCAGTCCTGTTTATGACTCGTCTGCCTGTATTTAACAATTTGTCCCCTCCTTGAGTAAGGAATTGTCAAGCAGCCTTTAGATGCTATTAAGTATAGTAATCCTCTTGACTCAATGTTGAGCCTGATAAGCCTTTATTGAGCAACTTTTTACATGGAAAGTGATGTGTGCAATGCATGAAAAAACTTCACTTTTTATCTCGATTAAAGTTTGATGAAATTTAGATGATCATTTCAGCGCTACTGTTAATCATCAGCATTTGCGGTAATATTTGTCATAAGTTAAATGAATAGGGGTACGTAGGTAATGTTCGCAAACAAGTTGATACTAGACTAAAGCCTGAGTCCGCACTCAGGTGGATTATTTATTCAGATAAAGGGATCTATTACGAGAGAATATTTGCATTGAGGCAGTCATGTAAAGTAGAAACTCTTGCGCATTTATCGGTCAGCAATACATCAGTAGGAAGAACTGGAACTTCAACTTAATGCTTGAAAATCACTAAGTAGGCAATAGGTATCCTCTGATTGAAAAGTCTGTTTTTTCCCATTTAAAATTGAGATCTCTATCACAAATTAAATGATAGCTCCTGTAATTTGACTCTGTTTATTTGTATTATTTTCTTGGTGTGAAATGTCTTCATTAAGTTAGAGTCTTGGATTCTTTATAAGGAGAAATATTTCTGTAAATTGAGTGGACTATTTAAAAAAAGGTTGACTAGCTTGTTGAGTCACTGAAAATAGGTGAATTTTGTCAATTTGTTAAAGCCTTAAAAACCGAATGAACTCTGAAAGTAAAGTCATTTTTAAACCTTACTTCTTTGAAAAGAAAATATTTAACTTAAGATTGTTGAACACTAGTTTGAAGGTAATGATTTAAAATTATTCCGATAATTCAGCCCATTCCATCAATAGACTTTAAAATAGAACAACAGATACAATTTGCAGTGAGGAACATGTTAGACCTGATGCATCAAGAAAATTGAAGATTATTTTTATTTCCCCTTTTTTAAGGACCGCAAAAGACATCCATCTCTCTCGAAGTTGTTTCATGATATCCACGAAAGGGAAGCGAATCTAGAATTCAAACCTGTGGTTTAGGTAATTTTTTCGGCTCTCGCGAACGAATCTCGATTCTATGATAGTAGGTAAAACTGGGGAAAGAAAAGAAGAGACAAATGTCACATCCAAAAATTGCACCATTCAACAGATATTTACATGCTAACCTATGGACCAACTTATGATTGATGCATCCAGACTGATGTGACTTTCGTCTCTTCTTTTCTTTCCCCAGTTCGAACATTGTGGAACAGGTGGACTCTCAGGGTTGGGTGGGATATCCCCTCCATTTTGGCCTCAACTTGAGAGCTTTTTTTGAGCTTGGGAGTTGATTTCAGAGAAAACCAATGGCACCATCGTGTTTCTCGCCAACTTTTACATAAGAATCAATGGTCAAATCGCAAATCCCTCACACATGCAACATCTCCATTATGCTCATAGAACCCTATGATAGTTTAAGATCTAATTTTCGCTGAAGTTGGTGACCTAGTGCATGAACAGCCTTGAGGGAGAAGCCAATTAGGAATCGATTAGGTGCGACTTAATTTCCACTTAGAGCGGGCCCCAACCAGTAATCTTCGAAGGGTTGTCAGTAAAGACATAACGGTAGTAATGAGGGATGCCGCCGCTTATCCCACCATAAGCTATCCAAGCGTGCCAAGGAAAAACGCCGTATAGAACATAAGAGTGTTGCCAAATTTACCCCAATATAATTTGAAAAATTCCCCTCATCTAATATCCAGGTGATTCGATGGACGCCATATTTTGTGTCAGAATGGCATGCGATATATTGCATCAATTGGTTCCATTTTTTCAGCTACACGTCATTTTTCTCCAATTTTGAGATCGCAATTCTGTTGTCAGGAGACTAAAGCGCTCACTTACCAATTTTAACAAAGAAATTCAATGTAATAAAGGTGTGGTTTTTTTTTTTTCAGAGAGAGAACATCGCATTCGATACTGATACCTAGTGAAACTGCACTCGAATGCTATATTTTCTCTCTAAAAAAACCACGCCTTTATTACGTTGAATTTCTTTGTTTAAATTGGTAAGTGAGTGCTTTAGTCTCCTGACAACAGAATTGCGATCACAAAATTGGAGAAAAATGGCGAGTAGCTGAAAAAATGGAACCAATTGATGTGATATATCGCATGCCGTTCTGACACAAAATATGGCGTCCATCGAATCACCTTACAGGTAACGGTCCTAGGTAACATCCTAGATGTCAGAACGCTCTCTCAACTCGAAACAACGCGAGGACCAATGAAGAATGTACGAAGTTGGGTTTGAACCCAACATGCAACTATTTCAACTCTGCGATGGGCCGGATTGCATACGCTATATTTTGCGGGGCGAATTATGAGATCTGTCAACGGCCCACCTACGCATGCGGCTCTCGCGATAGGGCTACGTTAGGGTGCATGTAAGATCACAGGAGCCAACGCGCCAAATGCGCCTCAAAAATCGGCCATGGTACCTAAAAAATGAAGGCTCTGCGCCAACGTAGCCCCTAAAAATCTGGATTTGCACAAGAAGGCACATAAAGAATGAAATACAAATCTACTTGAATTGAAAAAACTCAGAATTTTCAGCACTGTAAGTGAAAGCTTGCTTTTTCTATTCTTCATTATTTCATTCGTAGTGCTTTTGTCTTCCCCAAGTTACAGCTACTTACTAGTTCTGCTACGAAAACATTTGAGTCTATCTTTTCAGTAAATGCGCCGTAATATTTAGGCAAAAAGTCAATTTGGCCCCTAAAAAATCTTCAATGGCGCCTAAAAATCTGGCTGATGCGCCACATGGCTTCTAAAACTCCAAGGTGAGTTTTGCACACTGCCAAGGGGATGACCCCCTATAACTTTCAGTATAAACATATCGACGGTGAAACTACCAAACCACGTATCTCGTTTGCGGTGTTTAAAAATCTACGCTCGCATTTTATTTTTTTGAAGTAGACCAAATCAATATCATTCCTTGAAATTTTCACAGAATTTTCTCCGCACGAAGAGGAAAAATCACAGAAATTTTCAAGACTGGACGTTGAGTAGTTTTTCATGTAAAAAATAAAGTATGACAGGAAGTCTGCGACGTCGCAAACCGAGATACGTGGTTTGTTAGTTTCACCGTCGATATGTGATATACTATTTTCTCCATAGAGATGCGCGTTTCAGAAGGCGAGCCAGCAACAGTAGTTCCTATTTCCAAAATTTTGTTCACTTGTACGTCCGAAAGCCTCGCAGAAGCTCGAGTCGCGTGAGGACCTAAGGCTGTTGCCCGCGAATGACGTCATCTTTCCCGACCAGCCTGTTGCTTCCCGAGGGAGGAGACCAGACGTCCGGGGCGAACGGGGAACGAAGGAACGGGAGGATAATCCCTCGCAACAGCCTTTTTCTCGGGGGCGAATTTACGATCGACCGACAACGGCGACGGACCGTCGCTCCTCTGACGTATCAGAATTTCCTCGTGAGCTCTGTTCTCCGTATAACCCTATGCTTTCCCGGGCTCTTGTAGAATTAGAGGTACGCCCCTACACCAGAAGAGCAATGCAACGTGCGGAAAAGACAAGTACTACTCTCAACAAAGAACCTAATAAGAATGTTGTTAGGCTAATAGACACTTGAGGAAGGAAAAGCGAAAAGAGCGCGGAAAGAATAACAAAACGAGAGAAGATGGAGACGATGCAGAGACGAGAACTAAGCTTACGCCGACGACTTTCTTTCATATCGTAATGAGTTTGCCACGTTTGTTGAGGGGGTAGTGTGCGAATTTTTCTGCCGTGATAGCGAGGAGAGCCGCCCTTAACTCTCAAATTTTCGAAAGCAGTTGAAAGAGCAAAATTCGTCTCCTTTGTTTAAAAACGAGACAAATGAGAAAGTTGTAAATGCACAGAAATTGACGTTGTTTCAGACTAACATTCCGGAGCATTATTCCGACAGAGAGTCAAGAAGAGTTGGACTGCATTTTGTGATTTGGAACTATAAGTTCTGGCTCTTCTGGAAAAACACTTATG